TGGAAATGCGATTATTGACCATAATAGTTTTATTAGAGAGACGTATATCGAATTCAATAACCAAATAAGTTAATAGGTTACTCTGAAGAATTGGACATGTACACAAAAATCTGTTCATATGGGCAGAAAACAAAATTTGCCAGGGTTCTTTCACTGTACTGGATGTTACTGGTTATGAGGAAAAACTGATTAATTTGTTTTCACTCATGTTCCAAGCAGAGAGGTAGCTGCACTCATGGTGGAAATCGTCAACCATGTGCAAAAGTGATTGATAATTATTCAGACTACTGAACATTGTACAGAATAGAGGAACTAGGAAAAGCAGATAAGAGACATTTTGCTGTGAACTATTTTTCATATTGTTGATCAAACATCAGCTGCTCATAAAAAAGTGTTGAAAGAATGTGGAACTTCGCTAAGTGGGATGATAAAATTAAACGAGGCACAGTTTGTCATCATTGTGAATCTTATCTTGCAGAGTTCATGCAGTGAAAGCCTTTGGGACAAGAAAGGGCTTCTGATGCCATATTAAAAGCAACCACAGAAATACAACAGCCACAAATGGTTCTCAACCAGAAGTTTAATAGTTTGAAGAAGGAATGCTGTGGGTTTTTTATTTACTTGTTAAATATTTAGTTTTATTTTATAAATATAAAGAAGTTTTATTTAAATTTTGGTATTTATCAACATTTCCTGTAATTAGACTAGAAGAGAAACGTGCTAATGTGACAATCAGCAGTGCTGTTATAACCACGTACAGTGCTGATAAGGACCACGTGTTTCTGAGGAGCCTTCTCTTTATTTTCTTTTTCTTCTTTCTAGATATTTCTTTCTCCTGATGAGGAGGGACCTTTAGCTTCCCTCGAAATCGATTGAGTTTTTCATTATACTTATGCTAAATACAAGGTTGTTTTTACGATTTTGATTTCCTGTAATGTTTTGTATTTAATTTATGAAACACATTTAAAAAAGAAATTAAAATTAAGTAAATGTATATTTTTCAAGTTTTGGAGAGGTGGAAAGGGAATGATTGTCCACCTGTGGTGAAAGGAATACTTGGCAAGAAAGGTTGAAAACCTTAAAGGTAAATGAGAAATAAACATGAAGTTGGTGATCATCCTGGCACCAACTTAGCATCATTTAAAAAACAGTTGCTGTAATAATAAGGAAGTATTCAGTTTTCTTTACTGTTAGTAACAGTAAAATGTGAGTATGCAATTTGTATTTGTGCCTGTTTTGTATTTGCTTTTTCATTAATAGTTCATGAAAGTAAGTCGTTGAGTGAATATTATCTCTTGGTGTATCGTGTCAGCAGTAAAGAAACTACTGTAAAAGTTTAAACCTTTTTCTTTCTTTTGTTTACTAGTTATTAAAAGACTGTCTCTTTTTCAGTTGAAAGGAATTTGAAAAAGAATTTAATTAATGCTGAAATAAATTATATACTTTTAATTTGAAATTATTAAATTTTAAAAGCTTAAAAATATTTCAAAATTTTTTATTATGATTTTTATATATTGTGTGTAAGTATTTTTTTTTTTTTTTTTTTTTTTTTTGTGAGTTGCTTCTCTTTTTCTTGCTTTTGTTTAGCTAATGGAATGAAGTGATCATTTTATAAATACAGAGAAATACCAGATATGTCAGAAACGAAAATTTTGAACATGAGATTTAATAGAACTTCACTAGGTGAATAAATTTAAATTACATTAATTACATTTATATGTTTCAAGTAATAAGACAGAATATTCTAAAAAAAGTTCAAGTTAAATGGACTCAGAAGGATTAACCTAGAATACATTCTATCTGCTGATATTAAAAATGAAGACCATAGTGATGTTCAAATGGGAAGAAAGCGTGCTGCAGCAGAACCCCCCCCCCCCCCCCCCCCCCCCCCCCCCCCCCCCCCCCGATACTCGCATTTTTTCTTTTTTTTTTTTTTTTTTTTTTTTTTTTTTTTTTTTTTTTTTTTTTTTTTTTCATACTCTGAGGAATCTGAAAAAAAACGTAAACTTTTTTTAAATATCAAAAAATGCAGAAAATGTACTTAGAGGAGTTCAAATCTTATATCTGAGGAGTAATATAAAAATGGCAAAAAACTGGAAAGAATGTCAGTAATATTCAAAAATGTTTCCCCTAAAAAGTTATGTGATACTTTTTTTTTTTTTTTTTTTTTTTTTTTTTTTTTTTTTTTTTTTTTTTTTTTTTTTTTTTTTTTTTTTTTTTTTTTTTTTTTTTTTTTTTTTTTTTTTTTTTCTTTTTTTTTTTTTTTTTGTTTTTTCCTCCCTAGAAAATGAATTCTTTCGTTGCAGATTACTTTTTTTCTGCTTCTAAAAATTCCAAGTATTTTCTGAGAATAATAACTTAGTTTGGTGAAACCTGGTAATTCTAATGAGATTTTGCCGCATAATTTTTATTTTTTTTTCCATTTTAGGACAACTTGATGATTTTGTTAACTGTAGAAATATGTTTCTTCGGATTAATAATTTGAGTAAACAAAGAACTTGAATAAAATGACATTGTAATAAAAGATAAGAACGGCATGTTTAATTTTAAAATGGACAGTAGTGCAACATGTAGTAAGATTGTCAAAATGTATCATTATCCAATTATCCTCATGAGCACATGAATTCGTGTTAATAAAAAACAGAGTGGTACCGCAATCAAGTTGGTGCATATCTTTTTATATAGAATTGGTATTTGTTGTTATGGAAAACATCAAAATATAAAATTGTGTTTGTAAAAAATGAAGAACTCTCACATGTACATGGACACACATGTGAAATAAATTCTGTGTTAAGATGGCTATCAGTGGTTCCAGATGATTTTGGTTTTATGTGTTGGTTATTTTATAACAGTGGGTTAAAATCTGATATTTATTTGCATTGTGAGAGATGACGATCACTTTCAGTGTGTTTGTTTTAGAAAAAAATTGAGGGAATCCATTTTGAAATTTTTACTGTTTATAAAATAATATTGTTAGGAATTTGGTAAGTGTTAATATCTGAAAAAGTAACAAAAATTCAATCAATTACATTACATGAAGTAATTCATTTTAATAAACCTGCTCAAAAAAGCAACCATAGTTGGTATAGATTTTGAATAAAACTATATTAATTTTGAGGGCGAACAGATGCAGGTCTCTGTTCTTTGGGGAGAGGGGAGATTGCCAAGCAAAATCTGATTGTCCTTGAACTTGACTCAACATCAGTGATAAACTAAACAAGAAAAGGGTGTTCCTAATCTTAAATGTCTCTTCAAGTTCTGTGTAACAGCATTATCAACCGTTGTGTTTGAAGGAAGTATAAACTGTTAGCTTAGGAAAATGATGTATTGGCCTAAATACGAAACAGCCTCATGTAAAAGGTGTAACCACATATTTGTAAATACTGTACAGAAAATAAAAATGACTTCATATAAGGCAGTCTTATTTATATAACACTAGCAGCTTCGCTGCCAGCCTTCGTCTGGCAGCTTCGTTCTTCTTTCTGGTTAAATGTACTGGAAAAATGCTGAAGGGACAAACACAACACCAAACGTTTTTAAAAAGTTAAAAAGTGCAGAAACTTCATAAAAAACAAAAATAATTAAAAACAAAATTAAATAAGCAATATCCTTAATACAGATTTAATTATTCTAATAACGAAATTAAAACTTCCCTTTGCAAAATGTTAACCAAATGTTATAAAGGAGGTTAAGACTGTTTCTAAAAAAATCACTCAAAACTTTTCAATATCTTAAAAAACAATGAAATGAGCATAAATAAATAAAAAATAAAAGAAAACAAAAAAAAAAATTCTAAAAAGCAAAGTATAATTAATGATATTTATCTTATATTTTCAAGAGAAAAAAAAAAAAATTACTGAAATAAGCTATATCCCTAATACAATATTAATTATCCTAATTAAAAAAAAAATTAACCAAATTTCGTTGAAGAAAAAAAATCATGAATACTCTTCAGTATCTTACAAATAGTGAAATAAGCCAAAGTAACAGAAAAAAACTCCAAAAATTAATAAAAAATTACACCAAACTTTTATCAAAAAAAAAAAAAAAATTCAAAAATGTATTATATATATAAAAAATGACCTTAAAACAGTGACATAAGAAATATGATGAAAAATGTTGCCAAACCCATATTCTGAAAGAATTGAAACTATTCAAAATGATGCGATTTCATCAAAAATCTATCAACAACAATAAGAAAGGAAAAATTGTTGCCAAAATCATTTTTAAAGATGTGAGAAATATATCGGAAGCTTCATTTTAAAAATGTTTTAAAAATACAAAATATTATCATTTTCCAAAATTCGTTTGTAAAAAGCTGTCGCAAGGATAAAAAGTTTAACGTTGTCCAAAAATCAAAGAAAAATAAATTTTTTAGAAAAAATCCCGGCTGAAAAGGTGTTAAGCTCACTTGTTAAATAAATTCGTATTTAATATTTATTGAAAAACACGAAATTTAAGTTCCTAAAACAGCCAAGTACATACATTTCATAACGATGTGAAAATGGAGTGTGTAGAGTAAAATCTCGTTTTCGTATAGCCCATTATGTCTCAAAATGATGCGATTTCGTCACAAAACATAAAATAAAAAAAATTCGAATTCGAATTTCGAAAAAATCGCTTCGAGGTGCACTGGCTCTTGTCTAGATGCACCTATGTACCAAATTTCGTAGCCGTAGGTCTATTAGCTTACGCGCTGCACGAACGAAAGACACGCACACAGACAGACTCTTTCTTTTATAATATGTAGAGATAATTACATACATTAAATTTGAGGATTATTCAGAAGTAAGATATAAGTGATAAAGTAATATGTTTTTTAAATATTATGTTGAGCAAGTAAAATGTGTAGTTTTTATAGAAAAAATATAATTTTATATCGAGCCAATTCAGTACATCAAATTTCTTGTTCCAATGGTAATTCACATTTTATATGAAATGTTTTTAAATATGGCATCATCTGTTTATTTATTAATTTCATTTTATAATACTAACAAAAAAATTGTTTTAGTTGAAACTTCAGAATATCATGGAACAACAGTAAGGCATGATTCTTCTAAAGATGACAGAACAGTATTTCTTAGTAACCTGGCGTATAATATTGAAGAAGATAAAATAAGAGAATGTTTTTCTCAGGTATATTACCAATATCTTTATTTCCAGCTAGTGTTGTCAGAAATTTTTGAGCTAAAGTAGTAGGAGAAGAACTGAAAAGTAATAAAAAATAGTAGAAATGATACCACACACCGATGATATCCCAAAAATCACATGAAAAATCGTGATTTTTGGGATATCATTGGTATGTCATATCACATTACCTCTGACATCATCACTAATTCAATCTCCATTAGTTTGGTAACTTGTGGTTTGTAATTTGATTCTTAACGCTTTTATTGTACATAATAAATTTAATGAAAATCTTGAAACCATATTGCTAATTTTCTGTTGTTTAAATATCCATTTCTTCTTTTAATTCACAATCAGTTAGTTAATTTTAGGTTGTTATTTTTTAGTTAATTTGTTTATATCCATTGTTAACCCCTTCCTCATGGTTAGATTCTTAATCCTGTTGCACTAATTATTTTTAGTTGGCAGTTTATTATTTCTAGCTGTATTTTAATTGCTAAATGATTTTTAGTTAAGTTTTGATTGTGGAACTTAATTAACTTTATCATATTTTAATTACTAATAAAAGCTATGATCTTTTACTGTTAAATTTGTTTGGGCTGTTATTTAGAAATATGGTAGGACTTTAATTTTTTTAAAGCTGTTCCAATTCAGTGAATCTGAAAGCTTGTGTCGATGTTTTGACAATCTTTTTCATTATGTGCACATAAGCATAGATGCTTACAATATGAAACAGCTATAAATTCATTTACAGTTTCTGTTACATTGAACAGTTCAAATGATAAACACTGCATTTTTCCCTGTGTAAACATAAAATCTCAGCTGATGAATTTAATGGAATTCTTATAAATTTCACTCAAACATTTAATGACCCATACATATGCATAGCAAGCAACAAATATGGAAAGTTTCAATTCAAATGCAATTGTTATTCAAAACACATACATGAACAAGATTTGGATTTTAAAAGTCATCCAAGAGAAAAATTCCAAAATGAATGCTGTTACCAAAATATTATTGACTAGCTTCTTATTTAATAAAAACAGGTTTTAATTGAGTCAATAATTTACTATGGACAACAAGAAATAGGTTGAATATTTTTTAATAAAGAGATTAAAGAATTCAGTTAAACAATTTTATGCTAAATATTAAAAAAATTGCATCAATACTTTGAGTGCAGCCATCACATTCATTGAAGTCAAACTTCTGTGCAGTTAGAATCTATGATTTAGTTTCTGAAAACTCCTATATGTTTGTAAAGTAAAAATAATACTAATACAAAAAATAATGAAACATAAATCTAATAAACTATTTTTTTTAAAAAAAACTTTTGTTTATAATCTTGGTTTAGTTATTAGATTTAAATTATTTATGTGCAATTATTTGTATTATGTTTGTGTTGTATACTGTATATTATAGAGGAAAATGTAAGGGTGTTGATGAAGAAAGCCATTTTTTAAGAGGAAGTGATTCAAAAAAATGTTTGGGTATCCCTGCTTTAAGTTCATATTTAAAGAGCTTGAAAAAAGCTTTTGGTTTGTCTGTTTTCATTCTTTCTAGACAGTTCTCAAACATGGATATTTTAAGTCGAGTATTTTGAAATGTAGTGCTGAATTTTTCCATTGTTACTCCTAATTCTAGTTATACTCGTAATATTATTTAGCTGATAAAGAAACTATAATATAATATAATATGCAAGCCTACTCACAAATCATCAAAATATTAAATAATGCAAGCCATTGGGTACATGAAAACAAATGCGACTAGTATAGTAAACTTTTTGCACATGCATGATGATCACAGGATTGCCAGTTGCCAACTCTTATTTTAGCCTAAATAAATTGTAACTTTTTGTTATAAATTAATTCTAATAGATACATTATTTTAATGTATATACATTTTGCAATCTACTAAAAAATTTGTTTAAGTGAAAAAAAAAGTAGCACAAGAAAATGATGGAATAGCAGAAAATTCACAAATTTGCATTGACATAGATTTTAATAGATTAGTCAAAAATAACAAATTTGCGAAAAATCTGGCAACACTGCTTCCAATTGAATTATCAATTTGAACATTATATATGAGTATATGACAATAATTGTTTGTATTTGGTATATAATGTATTTTTAAACAGTATCTCAGTTTTGAAAATGTTTTCATTTCTAACATGTATTTCTATGTCTTTATTGTTTTGTTTATGCTTCAGATTTTGAGATAAATTCTGTTAATATGCATATTTAATATTTGCAGTTTTTAGTAAACCTGTAAGAAATATTTTTATGCTTTAAATTCCTTACTATGTTATGAATTTATATTTTAGGTGGCTGAAATTGAAGAAATCCGATTAGTTAGAGATTACAAGGGTAGATCTAAAGGATATTGTTATGTCGTTTATAAATCACCGGTAAATTTGCACTCACTCTTTCTTATTTCTGTATGATATTTTTAGATGTTAGCAAACGCTATAATAAAAAGAGATTTTTTTCTTTTTTTTTTTCTGATTTTTTATTTGTAAATGTAATTTACATAATTACATTGAAAAAAATATGAGTAAAAGGTATTTTATCTCCTGGAGAAGTGAGATCTTATATAAATCGCCCTCAAAATCAGTTGAGCTTTGTGTAACATCTATGCCAATGTAAGATGGGGGGGGGGAGATTTTATATTTTAATTTGATTATATGTCTATTCCATTGATAAGTTTAATTGTATTTATATGTTGATAGAACTTTTATAAGAATCTGCCTATTTTAAAATTTCTTGTGGTTATGAAAAGAAGACTTAGCTGATTTTAGTCTTTTGTGAGAGGGGAAGCATTTGGTAAATTATCAGAATAAAGAGATGTAGAGGGGGGGTTTGATAATGACCTGTCTATCTCCAGATTAAAAGTGTGGGTAATACTTGTCAGAGCATCATCAGTTATACAACCATGAATGCAATAAAGACATCAAAAGACTTTTTAATACAGTTTTTCCTTTACAGCTAAAGAAAGAGAATTGAAATTTAACAAGTCTGTATTGAGATTAAAATTTATTAATTGGTATATAGAATAATCTGTTTTGCAATATGTCATTTTAATAACCAAATTGAATTACTTGAAGAAATGAAAAACGTTGGTTCTAGAATTAAAGGGATCAAAGGGGGGACTAAGTCAGCTCTTTACTTACAAAGGTTGTGCCCAGTATATATATATATATATATAAAAGTTTAGTTGCCATAAATTCTGGCGCATAATGTGAACTTATAATTTAAAGCTACATTTTTTACTTTTAGGGTATATTCTCCGAATAATGATCATCCTTTTCTATATGAAGAAACCTGGTTTAAAGGCCATGGTATACTAAATTGACAACCAATAAGGGAACAATATGTGCATGGGGAAGTGCTTGAGGGAATATGTAATTCTGCAGGCAGTTTAGGTGGTATTTAATGCACAAGAATGTTATTCTAGATTTTCAAGAAAAAGGAGACACAATTTAGGGTAAGGACGCACTTCCGACACAAATGAATTTGCCAAATCAGAAGTAAGATATTTTTTCTTTTCACTCATTTGAAGCTGTGATTTTGAAGTAGAAGGCTTTAGGAAATTGCATTAGCTTTAGTTGAATTACAGTTGATCTAATGTTCATTTTAGTAGTAAAAATGGATCCTGCAGAGCAAAATAAACACTGTGCTGGTTTCAAAGTTATGCAGCTTGCAAAAGAAAATGGAAATCATGCTGTAACAACGATGTTTGGTGCTGTTTAAAGCGGAATATGTGAATGAAAGAAAAATTAAATCGCAATAATTAAAATGTATCGAGAAAAATTTTACTAAGAAAATCGCCAGAATGGTTTAATTGTAACAAGAAACAGCATACATTTATTTGCCTTAGAGTGGGGCAAAAAATGCTAATGAAAGTTAATACTCTAAAGTAACTGTGAATTGGTGTAGTCAATTTATGGCATGGAATAATTTAATTCTACGAGAAAAACAAAAATTATGCAAAGGCTTCCAAAAGATTTGGACAACAAATTCATGTTTCCAGAAGTAGGTTATTGATCTACGAAGGCAAGGAATTTTAAAACAACAGGGGTATACATGAATGTTAGAAAGTGAAAAAACATTTACTAAAGGAGGTGAAATGCATGATGCCAGTCTAGAAATAAAACGTGAGTGGATAATAAAAGCATGGAATTAAACCTGACATAATTTAAAAGTGATTTAAAAAGTGCAGTATATCTAGCAACCTAGATGGAATGAACCTCTCGTTGTATGGAACATTGTACAAAAAAGGAAACTGAAGCTGTTATCAAGGCAAAAGTTACATGAACAATTGAGTTTTTATTGGGAGCTAATTTGGTAAAAATTTACACAGATGAGACAACAGGGTGGAGCCGGTATTCACATTACTCTACCAAATTGGGCAACTATATTCCAACTTCACATGTGAATGTGCAAGCAACGTTGCTTCTAACTTCACATGTGAATTAAGAGCAATCCAGGAGACCCAGAGGATTTGTAATTTACTGTAACTCTAAAGCTGCCCTAGAAGCAGTACTGCAATGACATTCAAGACTCGCCCAGGATGTACACCAACATCTAGAAACAATCAACCAGATGGGAAAGGCATGCACTGTGCAATGAATACCTGCAAATGTTGGAATCGATGGAAACGAAGAAGCCAATGAACTGCCTAAAAACTCAACATATCAATCCCTGTCATTCTTGAAGATGCTAATGCAATTGCCAAATGTAAACTCAAAGAGAAATCTATTAGGAAAGACCATCAGATATGTGAGATTGATGCAGACAGAGAAATTATAAAGACCATTATTAGATTGAGAACCTGCCATTTTAGAGGAATGAAAATTAATGAAGATGGTACCAGATCATGTAGAAACTGCTTGAAAATGGAGCTTTCTGCATCTGTCCAGCAATACTTGCAGCTCTCCAAAGCTTGGGGAAATTTTCTCAATCTTTTCAATATACAGGGAGAGCTGTATATTGAAAAGATTGGAACTGGCAAAAGCTGTGATTTCCACACATGGATCCATTTGACTTCTCAAAGGACAGGACACCAACCAGCCAGATGGAATGATTGATTCTAGCATGTCCAACTAACCAGATGAATTATTTATTTATGGATCAGAGTAACAGTGATGGTAAAGATGAAAGATAATTTAATGACGTGCCTGAAGGTATAACAGAAGACGAATATGACAAACTTTTCATATTATCCGATAATGAAAATTTTTAAGTTCATCTGAGGTATGTCATTTAATTTAAAGAAACAGCATTTAGGTACATATGGAAATCTAATTTTTTTTTTTTAATTCTCATCCTTTCCTTATTTTTAAATCTATTATTTGTATATGTGATGTATATAATGCATATCCATAAAATTGTATCTTATCTTTTGTATTAAAAGTGAGCATTATTATAATATATAGTAGATTATCGAATGATGGAAAAATTGCTCTCACAAACTATAAAATAATAGTAGTCTGTGGAAAATACCAAAAGGAAGAGAATATGTGAGATAGCAGTTGATATCACAGTATTTAGAAGTTATTTTTATCTGTAACAGCACTATACATAATTTAATTGTATGCTTTCCAAAATATATAACAATTTACAGATTTAATTTACACAAGTAAACATTTTTGGCAGGTTAAGGAGACACCAAAATATGGTTTGCAAGCTGGTGGGTGTTTTAAAATGAAACAACATGCAAGATGATTCAATTTTGTAGTAGATAATGATGTTTTTCAGCAAAAGCAATCTCGTGTAATTGGTAGAAAAGCTTATTTGTGGCACTGTTGCTTTGAGTCTCTTAATCATCGCTCCTACACTGTGTGAAAAATTGTGTGAAAGCTTTTTTTTGGGGGGGGGTCTGTACATTATATTGTTCTGATTATTGGAAGTCTGTATTTTCAACTTGTATGGTAGGGTCTTATTCTACTGTTGTAATGTTCAGTTAGGTAAATTGTGCTTTCTCTTTTTTTTGTTGATTTAAAATGTTTGATGTTTCTATTGAAATGTGTTAATTGTTTGAAACTGATTGAATAAAGTACAGTACCTTCAAATCCTATAATAGAAAGTCAAGGAAATAAATATGGTCAGCTTAAATCTAAATTTTTTTTAGAAAAATCTAGAACTTGCATGATAATATAGAAGTTTAGATTGATGAGGAGAGAAAAACCTAGGCTAATGTTTACATAGTGAGGCTTCTAAGCAGGAGTGTGGCATATGCCTTAAGATGAAAGTCCACAAGGATCACCACATGGTGCAGATTTTGTCAAAAATTGACCCTGTCACAAGTTCATGCTTTTGCAAAGAACTGCTCATTAACTTGCTTTAAGTGTTGCTTAAGCAGTTGCATCTTACGATCTCAATGAAGAGCTCTGTTTCTAATAAAATATGTAGTGCTCATTCCTTAGGAACTTATTCTGCTATACTTAGAGAATACAGTGGGTAAAACCCCCACTATATTATCCACCAGTTGTATTACAACATCAATTATCCTTCTTGGTAACTAAAGTGGGAAATGGGTAAGTAATAATTGGCCTGATTATGGCTCTGAAAATGTGACATTTGTTTACTATATCTAATAAAATTGCATACAGTAGTGGTTTAATCTTGGTAACTCCGTAAGGCTTTACTCTGATCAGCACTTATATGGTGTTTCCAATTGAAGTTTTAATTTATTTATGACCAATCGCAAGTCAGGAAAAAGAAAAGAAAAGGGGGTGGGAGGAAACTGCTTCGATCAGTCTTCTGGGATGTTAAAAGGTGAATCCTTTTTGTATAGGAATGTGTAAAAAAATATGATTTTCTTTAAGAATAAAATCAGTAAAGAGTTGTCCTGTTATCTTCTTTTTAGAAAAGTGATTGTTTTTCATCCCTCTATATAACAGTACAATAGCCCTTTAAAAGTGAAGAAGGCAATTTAGAAATCATTTAAGCTATGTAGTTGTAAGTTATGCTACATAACTATATTAAGCACTTTTTTTCAATCCAATGTAATTCTTAGCTTTTTAGTTTTGTTTTGAACCATCATGGAACTAATATTTATATTGATATTCTTATAAAATTCTTTTGTAAAATGAAGATTTTTTCTGAGAATTTCATATATTTTTTTTAAATACCTGCCTGCTTTTTTTTAATATTTTTATCATTCTGCATTAGTTTCATTTTCATTGCAATAGTAATTAAGATAAATTAAATTTCAATACCGTTATTCATTATTTCATTGTATTTTGTGTTAAATAGATGTAGTATTCGTACTCAATTTCATAATTAGTTTCTCGTAATTAATCAAGACACATTGTTCGGCTGATCAAGGGAATTAAAAGTTGAATTTTGATAAGAGCACTGAAATAGCATATTTTCTACCTCAAACATATATTCTGTCATTATCTGTCATCTTGTTTATTATTCTATGTACTTTATAGCAAGATGCAAAAAAGGCTTTAGAAAAAGACAGAGAAATGCTAGATGGAAGACCTGTGTTAGTTTCTCCTTGTGAAGATAGAAAGAATAATCCCTCATCTCAACCAAAGTTTAAGGTAAATCTCAAATTGTATTTAATTGTTTTTGTAATTGATTGTCAGTAAGTATTTTGTATTTAAAAAATTTAAGAAGGTAATAAATTCTATTTATACATTTATTCATGTCCCTTAAATAATGTCTTTTTGTATTAATGCATTGAACTAGATGAAACATTAAATAAAAACACATTTGAAATAGATCATAACAATATAACTTAATTGTTGTGTTTTAACAACATGAATTTTTTTTTACTCTTAAAATTTTTAAAGCTAAAAATAAACTAGAGATTACAGGCTAAAAAAAGTTGTTGTAAAAGTCATTTATAGGTATGAAAGTTTTCAATTAAAAATAGGAAAAATTTCCATTTTTCATAAATTGCTTTTTTCACCCAAAAATAATGTTTTTATGAGAATTCTGGAGTAACATAACTGACTATTAGTGGATCTTTATTTAGTAGTATAATTGACTATTTATGCTACTGTGCTTAGTTTTTATTTCATTTAGTATTTGTTATAGAAGAGCTTTACACATATTCTGAAATATTCCATTGCATTCAGTGTTGTGATATTCATCTGCTGTGTATAGTATGATGTAATTTTATAAATTTTAAAAGTGTGTAAGAAATGAAGGAATGGGAGTAATCATTATGCACTGTTTTTATGTCTAATAATTTTTATTGTTTAGTTACCATGACATTAGTACTACGGTAATTAATTAAAAAAAAATTTCAACTACATATTGAAATTTGCATAATTTGAATCCTGATTTATTTGGTGATTAACTCTAGCACAAGATAATTTTGATGGAAAAACATCTTTAGCGAGTTTTTTTCAAAATTTTCAGGCTACCATGAATTTATCATCTCATGCTGACAAATGTTGCCACTATTGAAACAAAGTCTAATTTACCTTTCATGTAAACTCGCGCTTAACTCAGAGTGTTGCCATTAGACAGAATATAGGATATTTTATTTTTTTTAATTTAATCAGTAATTGCATTATAAATAATCAGTAATCGCATAATAATAATAAACTGAGCATTGTAAAAGCAATAAATGTATTCCGTAATAATTTACGGTTTTTTAAATTTTTAATAATGTATCTAATGAATATAAATTAAAATTCCTGTAATATTACTATAAATACCGAAAGATCTTTCTAATGCTATATATTAGATATCTAGTGCATTATTCTGCAGTATTTTCAAAAATAAATTTCTACTTATAAAAAAAATAATGAATATAAATTAAAATTCCTGTAATATTACTATAAATACTGAAAGATCTTTCTAATGCTATATATTAGATATCTAGTGCATTATTCTGCAGTATTTTCAAAAATAAATTTCTACTTATAAAAGGAAATAGTATGGAAATTACAATATTTACTTGAATACTCATCCTGCCCCCCCCCAACTTAAACTCTTATTGAAAAATTATTAGGCATCAATTACTTTTTCATTGTTCATCAATTTTTCTCAAGTAAAAATTATGGAAAATGTATCATAGCAAAAACAGGTGGTTGTAAAAAAATGAATGTTCATAATGATGAGAATAATGATGTTTGAGCAGGTAAAAGAAAATTATCACCATATATAAATTTTAATTGTACAACTCTTCTCAAAATTAAAAATATCAGAATTGTTATTAGCGTCAAAGAAAGGATTTTGTGAATAATTTCTTCATTTTAGACTGTATTGCGAGTTGGAAGAAACTGATAAAAGTACAGTGCTGAATGTAAAAGGCCAGAAGTTTTCGTGCAGTGGATTAAGTTAAAAAAGTCCTTATAGTGCTCTTTAGACTGATTTAATAATCATGCCTGGTGGCTTGATTTATATGCTATAGCCCCTTTATTTTTGTATTGATAAACCATTCAAGAATACTACAAAAGATCAATATCTTCAATAAAAAAGTAAATTACAAACATTCATAGATGCATTTTACTTGTAATATGCAGATTATTCATATAAAGAAGTCTTTTTTGATAAATATCTAAAAAAACTGTTACCCGTATTATTTGAGTAAATACATGCATCTAAAAAAACTTATGTGAACTTAAAAAAAAATGAGAGAGAGAGAGTAGCCCAATAATCTTGTCAAAAGTGCTTATAGTGAATTTTAGTCTGAGCAACAAGTGTAATAAATGCAATCATTATTTAAATGAGTTAAAGCGTTGTTAAGTATGAATCCACTAAATGCTTTTAGTGAGTTATTTTGTACATTATCATTAGTTTCTTGAAAACGTTTCTGCTTCATTTTATAAATGCTCAAAATTATATTGAACTATGTTAAAAACGCTTTCAAATCTTTGTATACTTTTGTACATATTGTGGCAGCAGATTAATTTTACACTTTTTAAAAATGATTTATTTATAATGTTCATTAACGACTAGTTGCTACTTTATTTGAATGAGTGTTTCGACTTTTTTGATGTTCTGTATGTGTGTGCATATATATATATGTCTGTTTTTTTTAATAAAGTATAAATTAAAAAATTTTCAGTTTGGAACTGGTTTGGAGAGAAATAAACTTTTTATAAAGGTTTGCCTTTTTCCACAACCAGAAGATTTGGAAAAAGATGTTTAAAGAAAGTGAGTTAAATAATAAAATGCATTTGAATATGAAAATATTTATATTATTTATTATATTATTTATTATTTAATTATTTTATGTGTTACATTAATATCATCATTATTTAATTATTTTTATATTACTATTATATTTTTATTTTAAATATTAGAGTATAAAACTACTTTCACAGAATAACAAAATTGTCTGGAGTTATGTATGACTCAAACAAATGTTTCATACACCAAGAATATAAGAAAACATAATGCTTATGCAATATTAGCAATTTACAGAACTTTCCAAAATTATTTAAAAGTATAATATTTAAGAGATGGCAAGAGAGCTTTTTTTCTTGACACTGCTCTAAAAGAGAAAATTCTGTACATTTACTACCTAACTGGTAATGTATTTCTTTTTTTTTTTTTTTTTTTTGATTTTCCGTTTTTTTATGTACCCGGCCGCAGATGATAAGGTCGGGTACAACAGATCCCAAATGAATATCCTTGCTGGTAAACCTTTCACTCCTCATTTTCAAAACAAGCCGCAACCATTTCTTATCAGATTGATTGTTTCTTTCAATACTGGCATACAATTACATTGAATTTTTACCAGATAGTTCAATTTTATGCCGTAAGGCCATTTGTGGGCGGTAATTAAGTCAATTAGGATGCAATCGTACCGGTCATCCGATGGCGAAAATATAGAAAAGGCAAAGTTCATCAATTCTAATGCAAATGCGTTAGCGAAGTAAAGCACTGCAGTTTTACATAATTTCTGAGTAAGCTATTCATACGAATTGAAATAATTCTTGCATTTAACTTGCATTCTAAATTAAGATTTAACTTGAAATTAATGTAAATTATTACTGAGAGAATTAGATTTTTGTAGCGTAGTTTACATGAGAGATCACTTGGGATCACGTGATATGAACCGGCGAATCAGGATGTTGTACCATGAAAGCATAGTAAATTCTTAAATTAATGTCTTTTTACACATTTATTGGCTTTTTTACAAAATTTGAAATGACATTAAAATGTTTATGCCTCCAAAATAAAAAATTCTTAAAACTAACATTTGTTAACATTTTTTTACGTGTATACTGCATGTTGTCACCAATCTGCTTGGTCACAAGTCTGCTTGGTGAGATTTGTGCCGGCAAAATGGAAAAGTACCCTTTTTTTTTTCCATTCAAGCCAGTGTAAAGCCCTTATCATAAAACATCAAGATTTCTTCCTGCTGTGATGAAGGTCTTACCTATTGTTGCCAGTGTAGGAAATTGGGGGAAATGAATGAAAGACAAAAATCCTGGTTACCCATTCTTGGTATATCTTTATGTTATGACAAAAATTCCATAATGTCTCATATTTAAGATCATACTGAAGGGCAGACTGTTGAAAGATTAAAGAAGTTTCTCATTAAAAAAAAAAAAAGGAGTGTTTTATGCATAACTATTTGTTAGATTCTAAGAGAACTGGAGTGACATTTATTGTTTAGAAAAAAGATTAGCTCTTTTTTTTTTTTAATTAAAAGTTTTCGTATTTTTGCTGATATTTGTAAGGATAATAAATGTACCAGTTTTCATAGCCAAGACTAAATTGTCATTGCATTATAAAAAATCAGTTTGTTAATATAATTGCTTTATAATTAGTAACGATTTCTTTTTTGCAGTATGGTGCTGTAAAAGATGTTCGTTTAGTAACGTACAGAAATGGACATTCAAAAGGTTTAGCTTACGTAGAATTTGAAGAGGAGGTAAGTATAATGTTGTAGAATATTAAAAGTAATACTATTCAAGGTTAGATTTTACGAGATACATATTAAAAGCTTGTGATAATTTTAACCAATATGTGCAGGTATTTTGAAAGACCATTTATTTTTAGAAAAATTAATTCACATGTGATGTGGAAATTTCTAAAATTAATTAAAAAAATTGCATCACATTTATCCAGTTTAGTTTTAATTAATTTTACAATCTTTAATGCAATCTTTAAAAATTGATTATAAAAATTAATATCATCTCATGATGTTTTTAGGGCTGAATGTCCATGTTTAGTTGCACACTGTAGTTTAATTGCAATTGCAGCAAAGTTTATTCTAAGTTGAATTTTGTTTTAATGCAAAATGCTGTATCGACAGTCTCTCAATTTGAAAACTGAACTTTAACAAAATAAATTATTTCATCGAACATTTATGTTATTATTGTCATTATTTTTTTTCTGTAACATTAAAGCAAAGATCAAAGACATTTTTAGACATCTGACCATATTTCCGATGTCTAAAAATAACCAAGTATAAGCCCTGTTTATATGAAAATTCTGTAGTTAAAGTACCCAAAGGCAAGCTGTGTTCCTTCCGTCTATGATTAGGCATGCATGCATTATTTACAGTATTCATAGCTTAACATTATTTACATGTAAGTATATACTACATATTGCGTGGTTACTCGTGAACACATATATGAGTTTTTTAACCCATAACTGTTAAGTTAAAATACTGTTGGAAATAATCATATGTAACCATTGCAATAGGTAATTTGTTATATAGCGATAAGTAAGTTAAAAATATAAGGCTTGGTATTGTCAAAGCTATATTAGTATTATGATTATAAAATTTTTAATTTATTTTTATTTATATTGTAAGGATCTTAAGTTTTACTAACATTTATTTTATTTTAAATCTTTACTATCACTTCTTATTTTCTACTTCCGGCCAGAATTATAAGCGTTAAGGTTTTATGCAAAGTTTGTCTGGCGAACGCCAAGTATTTAAGTTGTGGCCTTTTTGCCAAGCGAGAGAGAGGAAGCAGTGAGTTCGAAGCAGGCCGCTTACCTTAGAAGTTACGCAGTTGCTTGTTGCCTTCCAGGCCAGAGGTTTTAATCCTCTTGATAAATTTTAAACGTATTGTAGTGTTCACAGTTCTCTGTACTACATACGCTTCCTGTTAATATAAGGCCAATCTTCCACGTTTATTATTCTAAAGTTAAATTAGAGTTTAGTTTTTATTTTTATACTTTTACGTTTTGACCCCAAGTAGCGGGTCGGTGTATTCCGAAGTACGGAAGTCATTGTAAATAGAGAAAAATAAAGGGTTTTGTATACCCTTCTTGTGTATCCTGTTTACTTACCACAGTTTTGAACATAGCTTTAGTAAGCTCTCTGTTCCGAGTCAGGTCCTTGCATGTTCCCGAAGAAGGTTAGAAGGAACATTGAACCTGATAATATGTGCAGTATACTTAAATGTAATTTGAGTGATTTTATTCAAAGATTAAAAAATAACATCTTTTTAAAAACACAGTAAAAAAATCTTGTTCCTTTCACCCCTGCTCCCCCTCCCAAAATTAAATAATAATACTCCTATGTTAATTAGACATTGTTTTGATTCCATCAAAAGTGTTAGTTATTTTTGACAAGTGAGATTCATTACATGTTTTCTCATACTTAAGTCTGTAGTGCTGACCATAACTCATTATTTGCTTTAAAGCATTATTTAGCAAATTTAAAGTTTGCATATAGTATGTATTTGTTCACACTGTAATAGAGTGTTGATGCTGTCAGATCATTTTAAGCTGTAACCTGGCCTAATTATATCTCTTTGCTTTTAACTTTTATGCGTAATTAGTCGAAGGTTTTTTTTTTTTTTTTTTTTTTTTTAAGCCTTGCCAATTGAATGACATATTAAACATCTCTGGAAAATATCATAGTTTTAACAGAGATGAAAAATTCCATAGATGTGGACTACATCCATTCATTACCAGATCTCAAATCAATCTCCTTATCTTTTTTTCTCTTTAATGATAAATAAATAACAGCAGGGAAGAGAGATTCAAACTCTGATTTTGGAATTTTTTCTTCTGGTCAGAGGACCCCTTATCCCCCCACAGAAGCTGACTGATCTGGGCTCTTTCTCATGGGGAAAGGAACCTGGTAATTGTAGAAATATGCTGTAATGGCAAAGCTTAATTTCTAAGATTAGAAGTGCTGGAGCCCTATGGAAGACCGTCGGCAAAGAGGAACAAGAGTAAATAAATAAACAAAGCGACTATTAAATTCATTCATAATTTTAAATTAAATAGTTAATTATTATCAAATTAATTAATAGCTATTTAATTAATAATATTATATATAATTAATTGTTTTATATAATTGTTATATAATTAATTATGTTTTATATAATTGTTTATAATTAATTATGATTTAATTGATAATTGTTATATAATTAATTATTATTTATTGAAATAATTAAAATTAAATAAAATGTAAAGAGAAAAATTGAAATTTAATATAATTTTATTGTTAAAATAAAATTTTTGAGATAATATTCCTACTGAAATTGTTATTCAGTTACATAAAAGAAGTGCTGCAGCCTTCTTATTCAGGGCTCTGGTGCATTCCGGCTAAAATTATGATTTATTACAAAAACTAAGAAGCACCCGAGCTGAGATCCGGTGGGCTCCGTCCCAATTTAAGCTCTGATCATACAGGGGGAGTTGTTTTATCTTGTAAAAAATTAAATAAAAGTATAGCTGATGAAAATTCCAGGGCAAAACAGAATAAGGGTATGAGTCGGTGGAAACAAAAAATGAGGGGAATCCATGTTCTCTTTGACTGCGGCTCTCTGCTGATATAGTTATAGCCATCAAGCAGATGTATGTCAGGGGTAAAATGAGTCCTGAATCTGACTCCTAAGGATGTATGTAAAGTTGCTGGTTATGCTCCCCCTCCATTTAGTGGATACTGTGGGAAGACGATGTATAGGACATGCTTGAGCAGTATATCTCAGTATTTCACTCTTATTGTACTCGCTGTCACTTAACGAACATTTAAGAAAATGAATTTTCCTTCCTGCGAGGATAACTAACTGTAAGCATCAATAAACATACACTGGATACAATGTCATGGCAAGAAATTCAAGCATTTTTAAACAAACTCCCCCTAATTTATTGCTTTTCTTAAAGGGAAAGGTTTCCGCATGTGAGTGATTGGACTTTACTTGAACATCTCATGTTCTCATGAGTTCGTATTTCTAGGGAAATAGAGTATTGCAAAGTCTGCTTATTGTTAAAAACTTATTGCTTATCGCCAAAACATTAGGAATTCTAAATTTTTTCCCTTTAAATTGTGGTTCAGTTTTAAAAAGAAGTACAGGAGCTCATCTTATTTAGGGCTCCAGTGCACTCCGTCTAAAATTGTAATTTATCTTAAAAATTGAGAAGCACCGAAGCCAGGCTCCGGCGCAATTTGAGCACTGTGTAATGGTATAGCAATTCTTTATTGCACTTAGGGAAAGATCAGATTAGTCTCTAAATTACATCTGGAGTCACATAGATATGTATTAAATGTTTAGCTGAGAAATAGATATGATCACAAAAAATTCTGGATTATAAGCACCATGGTTTTAAAAAAATAATTACATTGAGGCCAGTGCAAAACACAGTACTAATAACTTGAACCCAAACCAATTAGCAAATTGGTAACTCGATGTGTTTTCTTTACATTTGAAATACTGGTTATCTCCACACTCCAAATAAGCAGTATAGGTATACTAACTTAAGTGCACTCACTAAACATACAATTTTTAAGTTTCTGAAAATAAGGACTGTACAATACACATTCATAAAATATAACATTTCTTCGGACTCAATAGGTAAACCTTATGAATATTTATTTAGTAATTTTGCAGTATTTTTAAAAATGCCTAAAAGTTATTATGAATTATTGTACTAAGTAATTATTAATCTAATTAAACTATGGGATTCTACACAAACTCAAAGCAAAAACAAAAAGTGTACCCTGATTGTTATTTTATGATGATTTTTAGTCACCAGACATTAAAAATGTACATTTTTTTAATGTTGATTAAAAACATTAAGTTTTTATCTTCTAAGATGTATTCATATAATAATTAGTTTATTTTTGTAAGCCAGTATATTAAATGTTCAGCATTTTTTTAATCATAGTGTATTAAAATTTTAATTGGAATTTTAATGGTATCAATAACTTAGGCTGCTGCTGCAAATGCTGTTGTGAAGACAGATGGTACAAAAATTTTAGATCATGTCATATCAGTAGCTATCAGCAATCCACCACCTAGGAAAAATAAGAGTGTGAAATTTTCTAGTGTGACAGTATCTGAATCTCTTGGTGGAGGCTCAACAATAAAGGGGCCGTAAGTTCTAATTTATTTATTTATTAATACATTGTTTCATTTTATTTATTTATTTATTTTATGTTACTTCAAAGCATAAAACTAATTATACCAGTCAACAAAAATTCTATCATGTTTTTGGAAGGGGGCAGAAGGAAGTTGTTGATTGTGGATATTTTAGTTTTTGCCATTATCCACAGTTCTTGAATTTTGCCACTTAGTAACATGTAAAGTTGTTTCATTTCTGTATGTGAAAAGCCCATTTGTGACCATACCATGGAGTTCATATAATGATATAATGATTAAAACTTCTGAACATTGGTAATTAACCTGAATTTAAGTCTTGATGAATTAGATTGATTTGAAAGGAACTAATTAAAACAATTTTTTAGGGTAGACTGGTCAGCTGTCTAATAGATATAGTAATCAAGGTATTTAATAAAATTGTAATAAATCTTTTATATTTTATATAAAATGATGATTTTAAATCTGCATTTGATCTGTGTGGTCTACTGTATTTGATCTGTGTGGTTAATTCCTTTAAGAATCCGTGGATTCCATAAAAATGAATCCGAGAATTTATTTAAACTGTTTTGTTATTGTGGGCTCTTTCTTTTAGATTTTTTTTTTCCCAAATCTTTTTAATTTTATGAATTGATTTGAGTATTTAGTCAGATTTCATTGTTGCATTTCAATTTGTATATTTAAGAGAACTGGTTATTGGTGTACTGTGTGTTAATAATTCTTCTCTGGTATCTTGATTAGTTTTGGTATTATTTATTATATTCTATAGATAGGATTAAAGGTTTACTTCAATAGTTAATCTATATCTAATATTGAAAACTGCTGTACATTTATATTTATGTGTTTTCGAATAATTAGCCAGTAAAAACTTTAACAAGGTATAGAAATAGCATGTTATTTTTATTAATGGCACCCCAACTTTGTGCCAAACATAAACATTGGTGTAAAATCTACTAAATGGCATTAACACTAATGATGTACAGTGCTTCATGAAAAGAATAATTATTATATTAAATCTAGAATAAATATAAAAACCTAAGACAAATACAAAAATGGAAAATAGATTCTACTTGATTAACCTCATATCACATAGGGGGCATCATTTAACATTGCCAAAAATGTTGGAAGTGAATTATTATTTTATTTGGTTTAAACATCATAGCACTGAAGAAGAATAACAGTTAAGTTTACTTTACAAAAGGTAAGATTAATTAACCCACTGAGTAGCATGACTGCCTTTATCCTCTGGTCATGAGATTTTTTATCGCTTGATATATATTAGCTTATAATTTAAAATATTTTCCTTCCTTACTTTCTTTAATGATGTAAATATCATCTTAATGAATGGAAATTTATAAAATCAGAGAATAAAATAAGCAGTTACCGTATTTGACGGCATATAAGACGCACTTTTTTTCCTAAATTTGGTCTCAAAAAAGTTACCTGCGTCTTATACATGAAGGACACAGGTTAACTTTCAATACTGAATGCTATTTTTTAGCCCGGATAAAGGTTTAGACACACATAACTTTTTTACATCTACCATAATTATTTTGCGCATGCGTGAAATATCTGTCGCCAAAAAGCGGCAAAGCTCGAAGCTGATGTCGAAGTTCGAACAGGTTCGACAGTCACATTATGTCTATGGTGCCTTTCCTTCTTTACATAGACTTTCTTTGACTCGGCCGACACACGTGTCGGTATCGGTGCTACTCTGTATAAACGTGTCGGCATCGGTGCTTAAAATTATTTGTTTAAAAAAAAAATACCCTGGAAAATATGACTACAGGAAACAAGACATTAAGCTATACAATTCAGTATAAACTAGGAGTTTTAAACTACGCATGGAAGTGCATGGAAACAGAGCAGCGTAGAGTAAAGCGGCCCTCTATTTCACAAGTGTGCGAGTGGGTAAAAAGATCTTGGGAGGACGTAAAGGCTGAAGTAATTGTTAAGTCCTTTAAGAAGTGCGGAATCAGTAATGCTCTTGACAGAACAGAAGACGACGCATTATTCAAAGAAGGTGATACTGGGAATGACGGAAACAGTAGTGATGATGATATTCTCGTTTTCAATGATGATGATAGTGAAAAGGATTTTTATGGTTTTGAAAGTAATTAAGGTCTAATTTCATGACAGGCAACGTTTTCCTTGAATCTGTGTTTTTGTTGTTTCTTCTGCTTTATTTTTGTATTATTTTTAATTGCTTGCCGTTCATTCATATATTCATTATTGAAATTTACATATCATGTTCAAAATAGCTTGCCGTTTGTTAATTTCCTTAATAAAAATATGTTTGGTAATTGCATTCAATGATTGTTTATTTGGCTTTTACGAAATGTGAGAACTAAAAGAAACCACATTTTAAGTTATTGTGGTATTGCGCTGTCGTGCGGACTATTGAAACTTTTCCCCTTGTGTGTGGCCTTCTAAATAAGGGTTGCGTCTTATATGCTGTCAAATACGATATTTATATGCTGTCAAATATGGTATTTATTATAAATGCCGTTTAAATACAGGTTATCATGACCAGGTCCAAAAAGGCCATGCCACTCAGAGGGTTAATTAGTTTTAAGATTAGGCGTCAGATATAGGTTTAGGGGTTTTTAATAAGTCACAGCTTGTGTTAATTTAGGTAATTTACAGTATATCAGAACTTTTTCCATTACTTAATCTGATATTCTATAAATCTTTATTGAGTAATTTGGTACTTTTCTGCAGCAACTTTAGCAATGCATAAAGGTTCGTGGAAAAAAATTAAATTGTAATAACAGTAATGTGTCATATAACATATATAATGTGCATTTCTGAATTTATGTAAGCCTTTAATGTTTTTTAAGCAAAAAATATATTGGCAGATACATGTCATGTACACAGCAAAGTGTTGTGTGTTTAGAAAAAATATCAGAAAATTGCACAAGTTCAGTATCAAGCACAAACTTGGCATTGCTCATATTAAACATTGCACAGTTATTCATGAAACAATATAACAGGCTCCCAAATTTGGGTACCTGAAAATGTTGCGAAGTGGAAAATAATCCATTACTTTTATTATGTACACCTTCAAATGACGACAAAAGAAGAAAAAAAGAAATGCTATTTTGACTAAATGTGTCATATTTGTTCAAAATATGCATTTACGTTTGTACTTTTGTTTGAAATTGCTGTTGGATGACTTTGGACCCCAAATTTGGTTGCTGTATTTTTCTGTTATATGCCATTCGTACTTGCTCTGCATTTAAACTTAATGATCTTCTTTTTTGCCTTGTAATTTTCAATATTTTTTTAAACAATGATAGATAATGAGTAACTGAAACAATAATTAGGTTTCAGTTTGTTTATCCACTATGCAGCTAACTCGACTAGCTTTTTAAGCATTTAATCTTTTTATTTAAATCCATGCTTCAGGATTTGAAATTTAATGTCATTATTTTGTGCTAATTGGCCTACTGTCAGTGATACTAAATATAGTGAACCTTCTTGTGAGAACCTCCTCTAAAATTGAACATATTTCTAATACAATATTGATTATCAATTCTCTAAAAACAGCTGTAAGACCAGACAACAGTTTTCCTCAACACCTTGTCTGCTGTCAGTTGTAAAATGTTAGAGGTCTGCCATTCTGGATAAGCGCATTCTCTAGGAAAGCTCCTTAGTTGTGATACCAGCTTAAGATTAATCAATTACAACTCCATAGGAGACTAAAATCATTTGGAATAATTTGGTAATCATCTTAGAGAAGGTTCACTCATAAAATGTCTGCACAGTAGAAATTATGGAAACTAGTAAAATATTTGTTAGAAAACATAATGTAAAATTTTCAGAGTATTTAAAAGTTATTTCTGAAATGTCAATTCTTGTTTTTCAGTCGAGGACGTGGCCGTACTCAGATATCATTGCTACCTAGATCAGTCTTGCGACCACCTGTGGGCAAGAAAAATCTTCCTTCATCTAGTAAAAACATGCAAAATGGTCAAAATTCAGAAGCTGAGAACTCATCTGAGGACAGAAAACCTCTAAGAAATAGTGATTTTGCTGATATGTTGAATAAATAAATTAATGTGAGACTTAAATCATTTTCTTCATCATCGTCATTATCATTGCATAGCATAATGGAAAGCTCATCAGAAGAAGTATCATCAAGAAGTGTTTTTTAAGCATTGAACAATTATCATAATGCTTAGCTGATAAATTGTTGTGCAGTATGCAGAATGGGCATATTGCTCTGCATGACTCATATAACTGTTTTTTTCCCATGTGAAAAATATCCATTCATTATTTTATTTTTCAATAATCATACATAGTATTTATCAATTAAGTACATTTCTGTAATTGTTTTAATGTATAAAACATCATGTTATGTTGTTATTGCTGATGTAGTTCAATATTAGGATGGATGTTATTGCTATTTTTCATTTGCAAAGGGAAGTTTAAATATTTTTAGCTTTTTAAGTGAATATGTTGCAGAGCAATGCAATTAAATATCTGATTCAAATTGCTTTGAAAATCGTTTCGGATATTGAATTAAATGCTGAAAATTTAAATGTTTACTTATCTTATTTATTACAACTTTATTGCATGTTAAATTTAAAGCAACAAAAACTGACTTTTTCATAAAAAAATTTTCATTTTAATATTCCAAATATGAAGTTGTAATATGTGTAAATAGATAAATCTATTCTGTAATTATCAGGATCATAATTAAAACAAATATAGTAAGTGTTTTTAAAATACAGCCTGCATTTAGAAGAATGTTAAGTCAAAAACTTTAAATGAAGTTTTCTTTGTTTTGAGTTTTTCTCTTTTAAATTATTTAAATCTTTTTAACTGAAAAAGTAATGGATAAAATGCTATGTTTATTCTAATACTCTTTAATACTTTTTATCTTTAATGCTAATGCAGCAGAAAATAATGGAATAACAATGAGTCTGACATGTAGAAATCTTTGTGATTTAAATAATAATATAAGAAAAACTTTGATTTTTATTTATAGAATCTTCCATTTTACTTGGTACTTGAAAACTTACCTCTACAGTGTCTGGTTTGGAATAACTTTTAAATGTTGAAAGAAGTGTAATGATGGGTTTCAGTAACATTAAGTAGTAACTTTCACTATGCAGATATTTTTAAATTCCTGATGTTGAACTAGAGCAATATATTAAATGTTTGTGTAAATTTGTTGTTATTGATAACAGAGTGTGTTTGATTTTTTTTTTATAATTTCATAAATACTAAATGGGAGTCTTGATGCGAATAATGAAATTAAATATTTCTGTATGATCTCTGTTATTTTTTTGTAAAAGTTTTTTTTTTATAAAATCTCAGAATAAGTATTTATTTTTTAGAAGTATGTGTGGTGGCATTTCATAAAACTATATGTTTGGTTATGTTTAATTTAAAATAATGTGATAAAAGTATAAGTTGACAATAAAACTAATACTTGTGCTCCCTATGCAGTTTCAGTTTATTTTGGAGTCTGTCTTTTCATGTATTTAGTTTAACCTGTATATAGATTTCTGATAATCCATGGCCAATTAAACTCTGCTCATTTTTGGTTCTAAATAAACATACAATTTTCAGAATATTCAGCATAGTAAATTTAATGGCACTATTTACTTCTTTGTATGAAGTATTGTAATTGCGAAAAATTTTGGGTATCATATTTCAATCAGAATTATCTATTTTGGTTTCTCTAGAATCCATTTGAATAACATTTTACGTGATATCTGCACGTATGGACAAAATAAAGGACATTTTTTGCCAAAATGGATTGTAAAGTGGATTTAAAATGGATTCATCTAAGATTTTTTCTTTGAGTCTGCACATATGTATCTTGCGTAATTCAAAATCAAGTGACTGTAGAATATTGGAATTTTGTATATGGTTATATACATGTAGTTGTGCACCTACCTTTTCCATTGCAATCAACCACACCAAATGTATATTAATGTCTGAATATATATATATATATATATTCCTACTCTAATGCCCGGCTTGGTGAGCTTAGATTTTTATTTTTATATGTTAGTAAATTGTGCATTTTTTGCTTTAAAAGTGATTGAATTATATTATTCTTATGTTATGGCTAAGGTTTTTAAGGCATCTGCATGCATACTTGCCAACTATGACACTCAAAAATCAGAATTTTTTTTAAGAAATCAAAACTTTTGTTTACATTTGAAACTTAGTAAGTAGTTAATTCAGTTGGTGCACCAACTTCAGTATCTTTTTGCACAGTACGAACTAAAGTTAACTTTCAGTTTTGTGCAAATATTTTACTGCCCAGACCGAATTGTTTGTTTGCGTGCAGAAAGTCTAATTTTAATTGCAAAATTTTTTAAACTATATTTGGTCTTTTAGTTTTTTGTATTTGACAATTTTTAATGAAGATGCTTTGAGTTTTTATGTATTTTTGCTTTGCCGTGAAGTAAGAACTGTATCAATTGAAAGAGAAATGATTTCTAATGAAACTCGAGGAAATATGTTTAAATAAAGTGCTGCAAAAATGTGTCTAATTTAACATGCCGTACAAGGAAGTGATGCGGTGTCCACATCAGATATATGTTTTTCTTCTCCATATTTGCAGATATAAACATTTTAATATTTAATTTAATTATTCATTACTTGTAAAGTTATTCATTATTATTTTATTCACATTCGTAATGGCCTTCTATGTGGCAAGTTTCGAAATTAAGTGTCATATCTGGGGGTTTAGAACTGAACAAAGCAGTAGCAGCTGGCCACTGGCTCACATTTCTGTTTGCCTGGCGTTGGCCCACGGGACCGACAGTATTAAAGTTTAAAAAATAAATATAGCCTCAATGAAATGTGATCAAATGTAGTGTTACTGAAATGTATTGAAACATTCTAAACAAAAATACGGCTTAGCTCGCTGCCAGCTGAACGGAAAGACAGCAAATTCTGCATCGCGCTCAACGTGTTAAATACACTGTGTACTTTCAGTTACAAAATGTTTTAAATGATGCATGTTTTCTTATTTTTAAATAAGAAAATTAATTTTATTTAAAATACAAAATCTATTTTTTTTTTTTGTTTCTTTAATTCCTGTACTTGTATTTAGAAAACATTTTAAATGCAAAAAGAAAGGCCATGTGACAAAATTTTGCCAAGGTATTGGTGTTTATTTTTAATTAAAAAACTAAACTATTTCAAAGCGAGCAATGGCAAAACTATACGGGGGTGGGAATTCTTATCGTCAGTGCGCAAGACTCTGTATCGGAAATTCTAAAGATATGCTCATTTTAAAATAAATTTGCGATATCGCTGTTGAACTGAATTTTATGGTTTTTTAACTGAATTTTATGGAAAATCTTTCAGATTTTTTTAAATTTTTTTAATTTCCCTAACCAAACTATTGGCTGCAAAAAAACTAATGGCTATATTTTAGAAGAAACTATTGGCTGCAAAAATTAAACAGATTCACTTTAAATTATACAAGCTGATATACTGTTCACTTCCACGAACTGTATAAGGTAAACAGAGTAATTAATACACACGCATTTGAGAAAGGGTAAGAAAACTAATTGCAGAGATACTTTTAGCATTGTTAGCAAATAGATGACGTCTTTGGGTTGTAACTCCCGTGATTACTTTTTACTTCTTAGAGCAATAAGTGATCTAGAGTGTAATTTGGCAATCTAAAAATGAAAGTGTGATAGTTATTTATTTATTTTGTCTAATGAACTAATTTTTAAATATAACTTTTTTTAAAAATTTAAATCATAACTGATTTTATGAAAAGAGGAAAGAAAATTATAACTTCACCGTTAGTTTTTAACTTACACTTCCATAAAAATGGCTCTTATTTCCTTTATATTAAGATGAAAAATGTGAGGAGGTCTACTGAATTTGCTGAAGACAATTAAATTTTAATTTAAGTAACTATATGTTTTCAAAAAATTGAATTGATACTAATATACTACCTAAAATATAATGAAAACTTTAATATAAACAAATTTAAACATTATTTTCGCGAGCTGACTGCATGTGTCATTTCGAGATTTTCTGCATTTCTAACGTTTATGAAGTATCCTGTGGATGCATACGTAAATAAGGCGGGTGCAGAACACTGGTAGTTCGATCCAAATTTCGAAAACCGTCGAACTGTTTGGCTGCGCAAAACCACTGAACAGTGGTACTTCGGACCAACTTTTGAATCCCGGCGAACGGACTGGCAGCATGGGTGTTTTCGTGATTTTACGCAAGTGTATCGTGTATAAAGTATCTTCTGGATGAATACGTGAATATAGCGGGCGCAGTCCGCGCAAAATGCTGAAAACTGGTAGTTCGGTCCAACTTTCGAATCCAAGAGGGCTGACTGCATGCTTTCGAGATTTTCTGCATTTCTAATGTTTATGAAGTATCCTGTGGATGCATACGTGAATAAGGCGGGCGCAGAACACTGGTAGTTTGATCCAAATTTCGAAAACCGTCGAATAGGCAAGCTGCATGTGTGTTTTCGGGATTTTACGCATGTGTATCGAGTACGCAGTATCTTCTCCATGCATAAAGTCATTTACCATATTTAGGGGCCATACACATAACTAAATGTAAAATATCAGTTTATTAAAAGGTTATTGAGAGATTAAATGACTAGCATTTCTACGTAGATTATTATGAAAAGTATTGATTCATATTAATTTTTTCAAAATGGAGATAGTACAGAATTTGTATTCTAAAAAACACTGGCAGGCTTCAGTATTGCCATGCCAACAACTCTTCATATTATTTGTATTAGTTACAAATGAAAGATATTTGTAATCTTTTGGAACATTTCGTAGGATTTTAAAGTAATAAAACTTCATGATAATATTAATAATGTAACCTTTGAAGACTTAATAAAGTGCTTGTGTAAAAATTCTTTCAACATACTAAATATAATAAAATTGTAAATTAAAGTCACTAATATATATATATAGTATTATTAACCAATTCCTTATTGCAAACTGAATAGGAAGTAAAAAATCACAGATTTTGAAACTCTCAATTTTTTTGGAACAAAAGTCAAACTTTTTGTGTTTTAGTTTTTATAAGGAGTACAAAATTTTCTTAAATATGAGTATATGGACTGGAGAAACATATAAAAAGTTAGATTTCGTAACATTTACAAAATTGACGACTTTAAAAATGCAAAAACATGAATTTTTATGTCATGTTTTTAACTGTTATACCCATGATCAATGGTCGTGAAAATAAAGACCAGAAAAGGACTTTTATGGAGCTGTGCTCTGTGGATAAAATTAATGTTATTTGAGAACATTTAGATCTTTTAATGGGTGTGAAAGATACTTAAAAGTATTATGTGAATTCTGAAAATCTGATACTGGGATATCAGGGGCACTTTCTATACAACTAACCTGAGAACAGTTAAAAATACAGGAAAGATGAATAACTTGTATTATATTTACTATAAAAACATTATGAAGAATTTACTTATATTTTTTAAGCAGTTCATTTGGTTGTGCTATAAATGCATGGTTTAATAATGTTTATATTTCCTAGATTAAATACTATTCTGGATAAAAACAACTCCCCAAATAGGACAGCATTATTTGCTATTATTCCACATACTTTTCTTATCTTTTTTGTATTTTCCATAGACAGTTTTGTTTTACACTGTGATAATTTATGGTAATAATTTTCCCATCATTCTATAATAAACTTTTTAAGGTGGGGTCTAATTAATCGGAAGACGACTATACATATGTTTGTGATAGTTAAAAAACAATAAAACACAATTACAAAGAAAGTTATTTTTATTTAAAAAACACAAGGCGAGGAAATCTGACTGTACAAACAGTAAACACAAGGAATATAATATGTATGTATGTATGTACATTTATTTTTAATTTTTTTGCATATCTTGCAATTTGAACAGATAAAATAAAAACATGGAGAAATCAAATGACGTAAAGACATGAAGTACAATAAGCAATATTAAATTATCCACAAATCACTCAAAAACTGATATGCAACAAAGAGTGAACTTGCCTCAATTACATATAAAAAAGTTGAGCAACGCTATGACAGTGGAGTTCTTGTAATAATGAGGGGATGGAAAGCTATTGACATTCTTGGATAAGCACAATTTTGAGGCAGATAACAACAAAAACATCAGCAAGTTTGAAATCAGGAGGATATGTGGACAGACATTTTATATAACAACGGCAAGATAGGATTTTGTACAAAATACTGATATTTTGGGACGGTTTCTTTATCAGCCTTGCGTAATTAAGTGAAAAGAATACAACATATTGCTGTTTTATGTGAACATGAACTACATATTTGAAATAATAACATTTTGAATGCTTTTCCATTTCATAATTGTGTTCCCATCAGCACCTGTTGTAAAATGTGTAAATGAATCGGCATGCCAACACAATCTACAAATTTTCAGACCAATCATACTGACAGCTACTCAAAATAGAATCACTTCTTTATGGACGGTTGTGACTTGCAACGATGAGCTTTAGTAATAATTCTCTTCTTTGATATTTTTATGTATTGCACACTTGGTCATCCTTTATTGGCATAGGAACTAAATGAAACCACAAATAAAAGCTGCCTGCTCTTCTCTCGCTAAGCATTGCAGAGTGCATTTCGATACAGTAGCACTCAAATTTTAAAAACTTTTATAGCTATACCATTATTGCATGCCTCTCTTGAATCATTCGGTACTTGTGTATTATCAGGTACATGCAGATATAGTGCCAAAAGTACCTATCCATGATTCCTGTGAATATTTGACAATCATACAAGCTTTTTCAGATTCACATAAAAAGAAAAGATTTTCTTTCATTATTAATACCTGCTTGGGAAGGGGCGAGTGAAAATGCTTTCTTTTAATTTAGAGCTAACTTCAGGCTAAGCACAGTGGGTGCAATCTGCATTGTGTCATTAGTTTTGGTAATCCTTTTCACATGGAAAGGACCCTGTAGCACATTTGTTCATTTCGTGCCAATTTTTATGAATTTTGCATCACATGTTTAGCCACTATTTCCAGGCTTATGATATTTTCCCAAAATATCATGAGTGTTCCAATGCTCATGAAATGAAATTGTACATGACAGAATATTTAAGATGAAAATTTAATGTCAACAACAGTTGATAGATTATAAGAACTGAGAACTGGTCTGAGAGAAGGTCATTTGTCTTTTGTTTTAGCTGAATTCATATGGAAGCAGACACAACATGTGGAGAGTAATAATCAGAAATGATTTTGAATACGACCCACAAATAAGTAATACCCACTGTAAAAAATTTTTTTAAAAGGTGTTTCCATTGATCTGCCGATATCGAAAATTCGTCAACAAATGGCTCTGATTGTTGCCCGAGCATCTGCGAATACCAGCTAACACACAAGTATCGTCTTTTTATGTTAAGGCTAGTTTTCTAAAATTGTTAGGGACACTTAAGTCTGCCATGAAATTATTAATTCAAATATAATTTAATAAGGGAATGTTCTCTGTTGTTTGATTTAAAACAGCCTATGTATTAAGCTAATAACAATACTCTTTAATTATTATTAGTTTGTCACATATATAATTCATGATTAATTTTTCAAAAATATCTTCTACTTAAATAATTTTCTCTCATTTTACTGTAAATCTTTACTATACCTGTTTAGTCAAAAGTGTTATAAGTAAAGCATTTTTCCCGATTAAAATGCAAAATATGAATATATTTACATGACATGATAATATAAAGGACTTCTTAACACTTTTTTCTCACCTATATCTTTTTTTCTTAAGAGGCATTAAATTTCTTACACATGGATATTTTGTTCTAAATTACTGTTTGGGATTTTTTAAAGCAAGCAAACTTATGCTTCATTTTTTTAACATATTTTTAAGCTTTAAACCATGAAAATGTCCCAATGGTGAAATATCAATAAATAGTAGGATTAATTTGCCTTGTATAGTTTCTTCAATCTATTAACAACCATTTTTTTTTTTTTTTTTTTTTCCCTGGCGCAAATAAAACATTTCTTTATTTAGAAATGAATACAGTCATTGTGACTTTATCACAGACTATGCACTGAAGTTATATTTTGTATGGCCAGTTAAAAATTTGTTCCCCTCCCTCAACAACAAGGATATTTCGAAAACTGATCTACTTAACAATGCATAAAGTCAATATGTGTAAATACCCTTAAAGTACCTCATTATTGCATTGATGAATATTGATATATTTTGGGTAACAAAGAAATACAAACAATAACAGCTTTTAAATGTAAATTACTGTTTCTGCCTTTATAACGCCTGATAAATGCCAAATTCTCATAGTACTCATTTTACTGTACTTTGGCAGTACAACTGTGACAGTTCTATCTGTCTCTCTCTTAAGGCAAAGGATTAGCATTTCATAGTGAAGGGAAATATGAATTTCACAGTCTTTTCTATGTACATTGCTTATGAAGTATTTACAATTTTTCATCAGGTAAACTGGAGCCAAGACACAGTAAAATCCTCATCAGTTTGTGGCCCATCCTGCATGATTCTCATCTTTTTGTTGATGGGTTCAGTCAAAGTATTTGTTTTGGTCCAGCATCTGCTGGATTGGTCTATTTTAAACATTACCCGATTCAAAACAATGTCCCATTCTAACTGCTATTTCAAATTTTTTTTTCCTAATAATAATCCTACAAGTTGCCACATTAAAAGCATTTGTTCTCATCATTTTCCAGACACACATTCAGATTAGATTCAACAATTCCTGTTCACAGTATGCAAATGCTTCAAGAGTCTCTTTAAAGGCTGTTCCACAACAAGTAGTTGTGTGGAATGGCAAAAGAACTGACTGCTTGCAGTCGGCACCATCGGATGACAAAATTCTTCTGTCATTTATCACAGTTCTTCTTTTATTTTTTTAACTTAACTGGTCTCCAAACATAGACCATCCAAATGTCCATCAGACGATGATTTCTCGAATTACCCTGCGAGATCTGGAGTTGGGTGTTGAGTACCCACTCTCGTGGCTTTCATCGAATGACAGAGATATATGTTGAGTCTTGTCTTCTTCACTCATGGCATAAGGATCTGGTAAGCCACTTACATCATAGTAAGGAGAATCTGCAATGACAAGAATACAAATAAACTTCAATAATAATAATAATAATAATAAACACAAATGAAAACTTTATAATGCATGTTAATACTAAATTTATCCATACATTAACATGAATGCAAATTCTCTTTAACCTCTGAAATTACAGGAGGTGCGTAAAGTCGTAGCCATAGCAGACATTTAATTACAAAGGTGAAATGTTGCTCAATATATGTCTTTTATCATTCCTCACAGATGAAAGGTTTAAAGTATTAAATCAGGTGAATAGGTGGGAACTCAAATGCACCACTTACCCTTATGTAGTGTCTCATTCATATAAGTTATACTTATGCTAATGCTAACCTTTATCATATATCCATATAATGCTTCAGCTTATATGCATATATATGTGGCAGATTTCTGAGGTGGGTGTGCAAACTCTTCAAGGTGATGAAATGGGATTTGTTACTGCTTGGCAGTTCTTAAATTTGAAATACCACTTTACAGTAAAATTAGCAAAGCAACAACTTTCTGTTTGGCCTAGATTTAGGCAAGAAGTCGATTTAGTTTCACACTTTACAATGTTCGAATGTTTCTTAAACAATAATCATGTGTCACTCACTTTGATTTATTGCATTATGTCACATGTGCATTTTAGGCTCAAGTAATGACATCTATTGACAGAAAATTTTCCTATACATTACCACTGCCATTCAATCCAACTTTTAAAAAAGTCTGAAGTTATGCTAAAATATGTGTGCATTTTTGGCAAACTCTGTATATGTTGGAGAAAGAGTGGAAACTTAAATTATAGCAAAGCACTCGAGAGCTTCTACCTAAGGGGATGGATGCCTTCCTAGAGGACTTCCTAAGGAAAATTGCTTATTAGTCATGTCACATATAACACAAATGTATAGATTCTTATACAAAATCTGATTTCAAACTTATTTTTGAGGATCAGATTTCAAAACATTTTAATTATTTTAAGGATCAGATTTCAAAGCATAGAGTTTTAGGATACAGCAATACTTCTAAAAAATTTTAATATTAGTAAGCACATCATCACTGTAGTTGCAGTGTTAATTTTGAATACATAAATTGCAAATAATATAAGTAACATTTATAATCCTACAAAAACAATTAACTGTCATATAACTTAAAGAGTTTAAAATAATTGTGAATGATTTTAATTCATTCAAGAAAACTGAATGTTGTCAAAAATTTAAGACTATATACCCATGAATTAAATGAATTAATCTAAACTTTAAATTTGTGTAACTTACGCAAGTGTTCTCGGTTTTTCATGTTCATTATCTCCTCTGTCAGTGGCTGATAGTCTTCTGGATAGAAATAGCCATTAGGGAGACGAGAATCATAAGGCTGATATGAACCTTCTGTTCCCATGTCATCTCCAGGTTTCAGCCATGGCTCCGAATGATCGAGAGCACTGCACGGACTGGTATCTTGATCAGGATGGTGGTACATCATGCCTTTTCAAAGGAAAAATAAAATAAATATTATGACTAATTTCTTGGATTAAAAGGCCAATTATTATTATTGTATTTACAGTGACTGCAATTCTATTACTGTTATAAAGTAAAATATAACTTCTGAATTTCTTCTAATTAAGTTTTTGAGATCTCTCTCTTTTTAATCCTCCAGGGGGGAAAAATAAATTACAATATAGTAATAATTATTATGTATACATCACATTATATTTATATGAAATTTATACTCCCTGCAATTTCACATATCTTAAAGAAAGCAGTGAATCAACACTTCCATTGTCAAGACTTATTCAACATTTAAATATACAGTAAAAGCCCGACTATCTGGCCTTCAACTATTTTAAAATTTAAAAAAATTTTAATGAAAAATTAAGCAAATAAGAGATTTGAAATTCCATCATTAAGCAAGAATAGGATTATGACTCAAAGAAAACTGTCACCAAACAATGTGATTTGAGCCAATAATGTTAAGCTTGACATCACAATCTAATCATATGACCTTCGCCTTGGCTTATGTAAACCTGATTAATTTCCGATAAGTGGGTTTAATTCTATAAAACATTAAAGAAGGCATATAAGTTAGCTGCTACTTATTTGTTTTTGAATCACATTTTGAAAATAAATAAATAAAATTTGGGACTAGTTTGATTTTAAGGGAAAAGCATGCAGTAGAGGCATCCATCCCCTCCCTAAAAAAAAAGTGGCAGGCCATTTAAGTTTTTTTATATGTTATGTCCGTAATTTGTATATGTTGATTATCTAACTAAATAAATCATCTATTCCTTCAAATTTCTGCAAGAATAAGTGGTGTAGGTTTAGCAAGATCTCTGCTAATTTTCATAGTCAATAAAATTTCACAATCAGATATGATGTTTCACGTTACCATTTATGTCTGCAATGCCTTTATCTTTCAAATGTTACATAATGTAGATGTAGACATTCAATATTCAAGTTGATAACAAATAAAATGACTCTTTTTATAATTTTAGTCCAGAAATTTTTTCTTCTATTCAGTTGTCATTTTTACTTTGAATCACATTTTTTTATACACTCAATTATTCAGAGTTTTCACGAATCCAGAATTCGGCATTTCCTCAGATTTTATTGCAGTAATAGGCATTTGCATATATATTTATAGATCTGAAATAAATTGCCTAATTAAAAAAACAATTTTGTTTTACAATTTCAAAATGCGACTAAATTTTAAAATAAGAATTTGATTTTGTATAAACTGAAAATTATTTTCAATGTATTATTTTTAGTGTATGTATGTGTATATCTATGTGCGTATTTTTCAGAGTAAACAATCATGACTAAGAGTTTTCTTTTGTGTACTGTTCATATGATGTGCTTTAGTAATTCAATATAGGCCTTTTTATTCTATATGTAAGCATGCATAAATATTGGTCCATAAATACCTATTTCAAATAAAATAATGAGAGTAATTTCTAATTATCGCCTCCCTGAAAAGTACTCATGAGACAATGCAATATGTAGCCATAATAGGCAACTACGACATTGTCAAATGTACTTATGTGGCAACTTTTGGTGTGCACATGTGCATGCACAGCACAGGCTTGTAAATTTCCACCTTGAGATTTGGCAGTCGTTACTGTTTGTTCTCTTTCCATTGAATGCTTTTTTTACCCTGGAAAGGAATCATAATGGGACTATGATGCTTGACAACTGATGAAAAAGAAAGCACTGCATTTCTTCAGAAATATAGTATTTTGTCCAACAGTACAGAATGCAAAAATTGCATGAAGTTGTACTTCATAAATAATCAAATTTGATGGATCAAAATTTGAGCAATTCTCTGATTTCCTTTTTACATGAAAGCAGATCATTGTGTACATGGGGAAAACTACAGTGTGCACAATGCCAAATTTATGGAACTCTGTGATTTTTTTAAAAGCAAAAATAGATCACAGTGTGCATGAGAAGAAAAACAATGAAAAAAATTTACAAAAGGATTTCTTCAGAAAGATGCTATTATGGATGCTTTTGCCTTTTTTTTTTATTAATTCTTTGATGGAATTCTTAATGTTCAAAATGGATGTTGCCTTTCATGTATTAGTTTGGCAAAAAGATAGTTGCCAACTTTTTAAAGAGGTACATTAACAATTGGAAAGCACTGTGATGAGAGATATAAAGCCACTTGAAAGAGCAAAACAAGTTTATTTTGATATTAATCTGATGCATTTTAATTTTACCATTCTTAAGGAAAAATACTACTATAATGCATTGCAAATTTCTGTAAATATTTGCACTGTTATAATTTCATGTATTGCTTTATTTAGTTGTTTATTTGCTTTTAATGTAATAGTTTTGGGGTTTATTTCACAAATAACTGAATCTGTAGCCACACTTTTTACATATAAGTGTTTATTTCTCATATAAGATTGCAGAGCCTTCAATTTTGAGTCCAACAACATTTAAATTATAAAAACGAGCTCAACTAGAGCATAAGATATGGACAAATAAGGCTCCTGATTGAGCCTTGGCAACATTTTGCGATTTATTGCCCTCTTGGCAAGTTTGACGAAAACACATTTTCAAAGCTCTAGCCAAGATTTTCCCAGAAGCCTTGTGCAGCACCACATAATTACCCCTCCGAGAGCCAGGGCATCTGTTGTTAATCAACTTTTAGAGCCTTTGCTGTTCAAACAGGGTTAGTTGAATTATGGTTTGGGGTTTTACTCTATGATTGATTTGGGAATTTACAATATTTCTTATGCACTAAACAAGTAATTGATTAATATCCACATTCTCCTTGATTTATTTAAAACTATTTATTGTTTGTGTGTTATTATTAGTTATAATAAATTGTCAGTTTCTTCCTGTTCAAACACTGTGATTATTTAAAGACGCAACCACAAACTCATATCTTGTAACAATATAATTTCTATGAATTTAGTTCATGAAGAGGTATTTTACAAAATATTTTTAACAGAACTTTTTGCATGTGTTTATCAATAGTTTTGGTAGAAGGATATTGTACAATTTTATTGCATCTCTTTAGATCTTACTTATTTTGGCTAAAATTTGTGAAATATTTAAAGCATACTTAGTTTACAAGATGTAAAAATGATTAGTATGCATGGTAAAAAAATATAAAATTTAAGTATAATTTATAGGCATTTCTTTATGTATTTCATGATATATATTTGATATGATAATGAAACCTTTTACCAAATATCAGATGTTTACAGTAAAGTTTTGAATAGTGAAACACAAATCATTATAAATATATATACATACAACATTATATATATATATATATATAAATGAAAGTTAAATATATTACATGACCAAATAACAAATAAAATCATTACATATCCATACATGAAATTTTAGTCCAAAAAGAATACAGTATTTTGAAAAAATAAGTTAATTAAAGCAGAAATTAAGAGAGTTGAAGCAGTTGCTGAAACTGAAGTTAGATCATGCAACAGAAATTCCATTTACTGGATTATTTATCAAATTACTTAAAAAATAAAGAATGATCAGAAATATTTTACATACCATAAGTAACATAAAATTAAATTTTAAGAAAAGTTTCCACTTTCTTCAAAATTATATTAATTATTTATATGCGCTAATGCTTACTCAGCTTTTTAGAAATAAAAAATTCTTTCTTTTCTACCTATTTTACTTTTCACTCATACATAAAATATGTACAAGTTAAATTTTATCATAATTTCTCTAATATAACTAGATGCATGAAATTACATTACAATTTATATCAATTTAATCCTAAATGAAAATATGGGTAATTAATACATTCAGTTTTAAATTATTGTAATTTTTATCTAATGGATACATTTGTTATCTGAGTTTGCAGTATCCAAAAATGCTAATTAGTTTTTATCATATTAATCCAGTATGAAAGAAACTACAGTTATTATTGCCAAATATGGAAATGCACATAAAATATTAGGCTATGTATGTAAAATAGCAGTTATTAATATCTATATTTTAAAAGTCGGTGGATAAAACAGGAAGTGAGGAAGCACAGCATGATTTATTTTTAATAAATACTTCTTTTTCTTACTTAAAGATTTACCATCTGTTCATATTCTAATTTAATTATATTTTGAATACATAAAAATACCTAAATATCAGGCTTAAATTCAGCCTGAATCCACCAGAGCCAGGCTCCAGTACTCCTTAGTCTGAGTAAAAACATAATTCCAGCCGATACTATAATACTCCCTTATTTTAATTTATTATGTAACTATTTTCATTAATTTAATGCATTTTATTGATTTTCTGTTTGTTTTTTTTAATTTTACTATCCTTTATCATTTTATTTACCTTTCTTAATTTATCCTCCCATAGTTCTAATTTTAGAAATTATCCTGTATGATAAATAATGCTTTTCATATTAAGATATTTCAAAATTAATATTAGCTAGTCAGATTACTTTTTCTAAAAACATAATTAAAAACAAAACTTTTTTTTTTTTTTTGTGAAAAATAATATGTACAATGTACTCTTGATTATCTGGGTTTACATTATCTGTGCGTGGCGGTGCCCACGCACACACAATCAATGCTATGCAGAAGAGTGTGTAAAAAACAAATATGGGCAAGTCCAAGCATGCTCTAAAAACTGCTGAATTCTGTCTTTAGGTTTAGTTTCGGTGATTACCTCGTACAACTCATTCTGCATGTGCAATCAAAAGCAGAAATTTATATGCATCTATGCATTTTTTTTATTCTTTTAAAACTGATTTAAAATTTTAGAAACAAAAATGAATAAAGAACACGCTACAAGTATGAAGAGCACAAGAAAAGTTTTTTTGACATTAAAACAAGAACTTACATTTATTTGAAATATCTGATTGACATCAATGACTTCTGTTGAAACTCTATTTGACTTTGTCAACCAAAGGGATTTGAATATAATGATAAATTCTAAATATTTAAATGCTCTCAAAAAAAGTAAAAATTACTTTCTCTCTCTATATATATAAATAAGAAAGTAAACACATATACAATATGCATGAAAACTGATAGTTTGGATTATCTGTGTTTTTCAGTTATCCATGATCAATTTCACCTGCATTAGCCAGAAAATCGAGAGTACACTGTGATTGGTGAAAATTAACATTTAAAATTAAATTTTAAAAATACATTTTATAATGTAATTTAAAGTTAGACCTATTTATTATATGACATAAGTAATATTGCACTTTAACAGAATAACTTTTTAATAATACTTTGATTTACATGATAAAGTAATAAATTGATGCTTTTAATTGAATTTATAACTTAATTTGGCTATAAGATAAACTAATAATGTACTTTAACAGGATAAGTAATTTACATTGGCTTTCAAAATAAACTAATAATATACTTTAATAGAATAAGTAACTTATCTTTACTCACATAATAAACTAATAAATGCACTTGAACAGAATAAGTAAACTAGTTTTGTTTACAGAATGAAGCAATAATGTACTTTAATAGAATAAGTAACACATTGATTGAATATGTTAACAATCCCCAACAGAGGCTGCAGATCTAGTTTGCTCAAATTCCATACTCTTTTCTCAAGACAATTAAAAAAAAAAAAAAATTACATGAGGGCAAGAGTGTGGGGTAAAAACTGGCAGCGGTTTTTAGATCATGAAACTTTCCACAAACCAGATAACTTTCACAAGAAGGCAAAATACTAACATCTGCTGAGTTCCAGATAGTTTTGTGCACTCTACTGAAGAAAACAAAAGAAATTACTAAGCAAGTATCAGAAAGCAACTATATGAGAAATGCATTTGCAAATGGCAGGAAGAATGGCCAAGAAAGAAGAAGCAGAAGATTGAGTTTTGTAGTCTTTTCATAGCTAATGTGGTAACATTTCTCACCAGCATGTGGGTGGCTGCTCGAAGGGATATGGCCATTCATCCCTCCATTGATGCCCGATGTATTGGTAGTGTAGATACCTGCTTTAGTGATGTCATCTGTTACGCTCTCCAAGCCCTTGTTCACAACTCCATCGGGGAAGTAGGGAGGTGTAACTGCCTTTGGTCGAGGGCTAAACAGAAGAGAGGGGAAAAAAATTGGAGGCTTTTAATATTATAAGTTTTGGACTTCAGTTACAATAGTAAACTTAATACAATAACTCTAATAATATCATACTATAACAAAATTCTATTAATTCAGACCAGCTATCTGGATCTCCAGTTATTTACGTCACTTTTTGGGGGGGGGTTAAGAAATTAAGCATGTTATTGATTTGTTAATTTTAGTTTTTCATTAAATTAAAGAATAAAAAGTGGTATAAAACTATAATTAAATGCAAATTAAATGTTAATAGGCCATCCAAGTGAATTTTTGTTTAGTCATAATAAGTTCTGCAACTGTATAATAATAAAAAGAATATAAATTTAAAAAATGCAGTGATATGTTTATTTTCTTTTTAGGTAAGGAATTTTTTTGGTAGTATAATCATGTTGGGTTAGTTTCAGTTAGCTTCTTCTTCTTTTTCTCTCTCTCTCTTTTAACTTTGTGTATGTGATTATTGCATTCTAGGAAAGTATCCTTTTCTCCTTCAGTACGTAATTTAACGTTTTTCTATTCTTTAGCTTAAAGAAAAATAGGAAAGCAATTATTGTTTTCACAAAGGATGAAATTAATATTATTAACGGTAAAATAGTTTAACACATGAGAAAATTTCTTTGATTAATTGAGTATATTAAAAATAAAATCAGGACTATGTGCTTACTTTGTTACTGTTGTTGAAAACCAAAAATAAATTTTTTTGGAGGGGAGGGGGGGTCTTAGTGAAAAATTTGTTCTAAATTTCTTTCTTCGCGTATTTACTAATCAATTTTCATCGGCATAATGCACCAAAATACACGGAAAGATTTTATTTTCATATAAAAAAATGTTTGTGTTTCTGATAGATATATAAATATTAAATGACATATATATATGTGCATGTGCATTTCAAATTTTACAGCAGCTTTTATTTGTATTACCTTAATAAATAATAAAAAAGACTTACTTTGTGGTTTCCATTTCAAAATCTTTCTTTTCTAAAATAAAAAAAAGGAAATATTTTGTAATTGTTTATAATAAAAAAAATAGTGCATAATAATGTTAGTAAACATGTAGAACTTTCCGTATCTTTTTAACATAGAAATATGTAACAATAAAAATAATTTAAACTTTATTAACATAACTAAATATGTTTTAATTGTTTTTAATCTGTACCTTTATGGATATTTCTTTTCTTCAAGCAACAACAAATCACTGTAATAACAAGTAACAAAAAGAAAATTCCACCAACTGAAAGTATAATCATAACAAATTCTGTTGATAGTCCAGCTTTAGAATCTTTAGGATTGGGTAGATCCTCTGTGAAATACAATATATTCATTAATAAATAATTTTTTAATCTCTCTCTCTTTTATATAAATATATAATTAGTTCTATTCTATATAAACATAGTATGTTAATTCTATTCTACATAAATATATAATTAGTTCTAAAAATATTAAATAAATTTAATATTTTTAATAAATTAGCAGCTCTTAAAATTGAACGTCTTATCTGCTTAGATATCAACTGATTGCATTATCAAAGAGATCTTAGTTATGCAGAAAAAATTACATTTTTCCTAAAAAATGTAGTTGCATATATTAATCTTTTATACAAATAGTTATATACTACATGTGAAAATAACAGTACAATATCTGAACCATAAACATGCAAATATGTACAATATGGTGATAAATTATGTGAATGTTATGAATCAACCACGTAAAGTAATGAACTTATAAGGTTAAGGTAAAATTTTCATGACGAATGAATATATGGTAAAATATATTATTTCACTAAATCCCAAATATTTCATTTTGGGAATGCTAAATTTTCTTGCATAAAACATTTTGTCTACTTTTCCTTACTTCAAAAAATATAATTTTTCCTTTATTCTTTTGAAGAAATCCTTATTGAATGCATTTATTTCTTCCAGTTTGAACTAAAAACAGAAGTCTTCAATCCTGCTTTTGATGATGATGGTGATGTTTGCGATGGCTTTTTTCTATTGTTGTCATTACCTCTCGATATATCATTACCTCTACCATATAATTTTCTATCATCATAGTGCTTGGCAATAAACCTACACAAATTAGCCATTTAATGTGGTAAGAAACTCTACCAAGTTTCAGATATTTTTTATTCATTTCTGAAACATTAGGCAACCTTTTTTTTTAACAAAATTAACCAATGAATAAAAATTTTTAATCAACACAATATCTGGAAAAATATTTAAAATGTACAAAAAAAAAAAAAAAAAAAAAAAAAAAAAAAATGCAGCTAATTTTGTTCTGGTTGCACATTTAAATAAAATTTAAGGAACTAATTTTCAAGGTAGTCTAATTAAAGTTGAAAGAATAAAATTTTCAAATAGTAATGCAATGCGAATTATTTAAAATGTACAAAAAAATGCAGCAAATTTTGTTCTGGTTGCACATTTAAATAAAATTTAAGGAACTAACTTTCAAGATAGTCTAATTAAAGTTGAAAGAATAAAATTTTCAAATAGTAATGCAATGTGAATTATTTAAAATGTACAAAAAAAAAAAAAAAAAAAAAAAAAAAAAATGCAGCTAATTTTGTTCTGGTTGCACATTTAAATAAAATTTAAGGAACTAATTTTCAAGGTAGTCTAATTAAAGTTGAAAGAATAAAATTTTCAAATAGTAATGCAATGCGAATTATTTAAAATGTACAAAAAAAAAATGCAGCTAATTTTGTTCTGGTTGCACATTTAAATAAAATTTAAGGAACTAATTTTCAAGGTAGTCTAATTAAAGTTGAAAGAATAAAATTTTCAAATAGTAATGCAATGCAAATTATTTTAGTTCAATTTAAAAACAAAAATTAATGGATTTAATTTTTAATTTTAAAAGTTATTAATTTAGTATTATGCAGTTAAGCTATTTAGTAAACAACCATAATTTTGGAAAAAAATGTGTTTTCCTGTTTAAAAAGTTTTATTTATTTATTTTTAATTTGGGTCCCTCCAAAAGCTTCTTACGAGGTTCGAATCCCATGAACAGGCTGGCTGCATGGGTGATTTCGTGGTTTTCCCCATGTGTGTAAAGTGTAAGTGTACACGAGCGTATGTAAAGTGTACACGAGCCAGTTTCCCTTAGAAAGTCCTCCACAAAGGTATCCCTCCCCTTAGGCAGATAGCACTTGAAGCTCTGCCGTAATTAAATAACCTAAAGCAAAAGCTTCTTATGTGAGTCAGTTGCAATTATTTACTTATGCACAAGAGTAAAAAATGATCGACTTTTGGTTTTAGGAAAATTAAACAAACAATGAAAGACTATTTTTGAGTTTGATAAACATTATTAAATTATAAATGAATATATATTTACCTTCTAGAGGATTTGCAAGTTTTGCATCACCGCACCATGAATCATTACTTTCCAAGCATAATTTTACCCTTACATCTGAGAAGCCTTCATCTGGTGGACTCAGTTGAACTTTTTCAATTGGCCGTATTACTTTAATAACTGTTTGAGGGATCCACATTTCACTACCAATTGGCCTAGCTTCAATCTAAGAAACAGAATTATAGATTAATACAACTTATGGATGATTTTCTTGTACGTGAAATACAACTCTTAAAATGTAATAAAAGAGAAAAACCATTTTAAAAGCAAATCAGAAGTCCTGCTAATCTACTAATAAACTGCCTCAGACTATCATGGCATTTGTTGTTTAGTTTTATAATTATTTAAAATTGTACTACAATTAGAAAATCAAGCCAAGCATGTACTAAAGTTATATATATCTTTAGGAAGCTATCAAATGTGTATAAATTATTAAATACTTTAATGTTAAATTTTCTAATGATGCATAATTAAACATCCTGTTAGCAGAAACTCATGAGATTAAGGCTTTTCGTCTATTATAAGGGAATATCTGCTAAATAGTATCTCAGATTCTGTTATAGATGGGATAAAATAACAAACATATTTTTTCACATCTTTTCAAGATCTGAAAAATCTCACAGTTAAACTGTATCTAAGAATAAGCAAGATAGGTTTTCATTGGCAATTTTTATCACATATTCAATTACAGATGGAACCAAATAGTGAGCATGTTTGCCAGATCTTGGCGATATCTAACAAACTTGGTTGCAGTTCAACTACACCTCTGTTAATAAGCAAGATACAGAAATGCTGATCTCACTATCTAATTTTGAGAATTGAATCTCTCCTGGTCCAGGTAAGTAGTGGGTGATGAACTGAAAAACATTTTTTTTTTATATATCTTAACAAAGATCTGAATGCAGTGCTATATCTATAAACTTTCAAAATACCTGTAATATATTGGGTTTTATTATCTGTGATCTGCGAAAATATCTAATGAATAGACTCACAGTTCAATTTCATCTTATCATGGAAAAACTCTATCTCAGTCAAGAATTCTCTGCTTGAATGTAGGTATCCATGAATGGAGATATGACTGCATGTTGTTTTTAGTTAATTTTATGATTAAAATTTCATTCAGAAAAATAGGAACTTTATATCATACCTTTGCTAAGAGTTTCAAGGAAGTTAATTCCACATGAAAAGTCAGGTAGCCTGTGTCTTTGTCGTATTGAGCTTCAGAAGGTCTTGGCATATCTATAAAATATGAAAGCATATTGTTAAACCATAGAAATGAATTTGTTAAATTTTATCAAATAAGATATCTCTCAATTTTATACTCAATAACTTTTGAAATAATCATTCATGTATTGTTTAAGAAACATCATATTTTTAATCTATGAAAAACATATTAAAGAAACGTTAAAATAAGAAATTTTCTGTTTTAATATAGCATACATTTCAATGGAAAATTAAATTGGTAATATAAACACAAGCATAAATGGCAGAAAGTGAAAAATTTATATATTTTTGGATCTAAGGTCATGTAGATTTTAGAATTTGGCAGATTCAATCATGAATAAAAAATCACTTAGATTAAAAAATTGCCAGAAAAGAGAAATATATATTACAGAAAAACTGGGAGATATTTATTAATTTTCCAGATAACCATACATTCAATAGATTAGAATTTTATGAGAAAAAGAGCCTAAAACATTATTTTTTACATTTTTCAAACATCTACTTTATAGCAGTTTTAAAATTTTAGGATGTTCTAGTTGCATTCTTCCTGACAAACTATACAGAGTTATTTTTTTCTGATTGGCTAAATGTTTTTATTATTCTAAATTCCTTTTTTTTTTTTAAATTCTGAGTATTATTTGCAGGAAAATCCTAAGAATATTTAAAACTGAAAATTCTAGTGTGACAAAAAATATTCTTTTTAGTTCTGATCTTAACAATTAAAATTCTAATTACTGCAATATTGCTCAATTAAAACAGCACAAGATTAGTCTACAATTTGGGGTTCATGTTTGGCAATTTTTTATAAAAAATCTACTTGACAACAGCTATAAAAACAATAATCAATAGAATAATATGGTGCTTTGTTTCAATACTGAATAAGGAAACCTGTATATAAATATTTTCAGTTTAGCAGTCTTATTAAGTTTGAATTTCATTACTGAGGTCTGAATAGATGTGTATTTTTTCTGTCTTCTGAATTTCACACACAATTTATATATATTTAGCATAAATTTTGCATATTACAGAGTATATACATTTCATGTATCACAATTAAACAATATTTAAAATAAACATTTTTTCATACTGTAGAAGCGAAATTCAAATTTGCACAATATTTTAAATTAATTTTAGCAAAATTCACAGTTTTCCTTAAAGTTAGTTTCTTTTTCTCAGTTTACTCTAACAAAAAATATTTTTGTTGGAAATTTTTATTTCGTCTGTTCAAATAATTTCTAGATCATATAATATTATTATAGATTACAAATTGCATAGTATTAATGCAAAAGTATTGAAAAAAACCTTCTTACTGTTATTTTTCATTGAATGAAAAAAAAAAGTTTCTATAAATACCAAAGATATAATTTAGATATCTTAAATTATATCTAACACTGGTTAATCCCATTAACTGTTTGCAAGATTTATTTTTATTCAGTTTTTAAATGGTAATTCGTTTAAGTCTATTAGTAGGCAGTTTACAATACTCTTTTATTGAGCTAAAAGTGAAAAACTCTTGGATCATATGAGAATAAAACACATTTTAAGCACACATTTCAACATTTTACAAACTTGTATGATACAAAATTTTTTTCATTAAAGTCTATGAAAAAGATGCTGTAAGAAAGCCATAAGATTGGAAAATTTCTTAAAGTTGAATCACAACAAATACCCAAGGTCAAAAGCTTTTTGAAGAAAAACAGCTGGTACAGTAAAAGTTCAATTATTTATTTCATTAAACAATTTTTATCAAAATAAAAATAAAATAAAATAATAATAATAATAATAATAATAATAATAATAATAATAATAATAAAAAAAAAAAAAACAGAAAAAAGAGTTAGAAATTTTTATTAAATTCTAATGCTTACCTTTCAAATTCACTGTAAAGAAAGAAAAATAAAGAAATTAGTAGAAGATCTAAAATGGCATTAAAGAAAAATATTAGTGTTTAAAGCAAAGGGGGGGAGGAAAAAGTAAAATTTTGAACGCTGCCAATTTCCTTGGGTTAACTTTATTTTAAATTGTGGTGAGAATAAGGATCAAACACATGCTTCAGCAAAGTGCATGTATTTATGCAGTGAGTAAATTAAACCAAAAATTTGTACCAGCTGTTTTTCTCTGCTTATGATTTTTTGAATTGTTCTCAGAAAACTCAGATAATGTATTTTCTGTGCTTTGTATGTATGTTCCAAATTTTAAAAGTATGGGAATAAATTAATTCTTTAATTAAAAATTTTTTATTATATACACTTTCCTTTAGTTATTATAACTTATTATATTATATTTCTATGCGATCTGAATATTAAATAATTATAAATGAACTTCAAAATGTGTATTTGTCTCATATTTATTTTTTAACTCTAAGTACTTTACTAATGTTTTCTCATGCAGTTTTAACTATTTTTTCCTGCTCCTTTTGTTCTGTGGAGTTGTAGTACAAGCTTCATTTGTCACATACTTTTAGGAAATGAATAGTATATTTATTATATTTTATAAGACATTTATTTAATATCACTATTTATAAGACATGTATTTAATACCACTATTTATTTGCCAGGGACCCAAAAGTTCTTTAATATTCGGAAATTCAGTAATTCACTGAATAATGTAGGTAAAGAGGTAAAAATTTATACACATACTTAACCTATAATGTCATGGGGTTTTATTGAAAGAAAAAAAGTGCTTAAAATGGCCAACAGATGGTGCTTTATATGATAGCAAAAGCAATAATTAGCATAACAATAGATTTTCAGCAAAGACTATGTTCTTTATAACAAATGTTCAACATATCGGCCATCATTCATTAACAATACCTGTAGTCGGGGGATAATGTTGTGAACAGTACTGTGCAGCATATCTGCAGGTATGGTGAGAAATTATCATTGGATGTTGTCTTTTAGCATCCCTAATGAGATCGAATGATCGCTGTAGACTTGCGATTTCAGGTAACCCCACAATCAATAATCATATGGATTGAGACTTGAGAGGCCAAGCATGATGGAAGTGGTGGCTCAGCATACGATCCTCGCCAAATGAGGTGTGCAAGAGATTGTTCACACGTATAGCAATATGGGGTGGACAGCCACCTTGCATAAAAGTCATACCTTCCAACACGTGTTTATCAGCCAGAGTAGGGATAATATGATTCTGTAACATATCAGCATACTTTACACCCATCACTGATGGTTTGAATAGCAGGACCATGTGTTTCCTCGAAGAAAAAAGGGTCTGATCACGATTGATGTGATAAATCCCCATCACACCATGACCAACACCCAGAGGCGAGGACAGAAAAGTAACAAAGCCATAAAGGGACTGATTCCCTCTCTCACTACAGCTCATTTCATACACAATTCTCATGCAGTGTCACTGACGTTTTGCTGCCCAGTGCCATATGTTGGCTTTTTTTTGCATGTATGTCAGCTTTTACCTCTCTACCCACATTATTACATGAATTATTGAATTTTCAAATGTTAATGGACTTTTGGGTCACCTGGTATATTACTTTCCTGCAATTATGCTAAATTTTTCATATTTCATATATTTATTTATGTTTAATACTGACTCAGGTTGTATAATTTAGTATGAAAAATTAAAATGGCATGCTTTAAAATATGCAAATAAAAGCTTAACATATAAATTTTAAAATAAGAATTCAATTATTAAATTCACGTTCTTTTCTCCTACTGCCCTAATCTCGTGCTTTTGTGACTTTATATATCATTTACATGCCTGTAATTTCCATTTAATGTCATTTGTGGTTTTCCTTCTCATATAAATTTGGAATTCGAATGCTATATTAAACGGTGTACTACATGAATATATTGTCATCTAATGTGGAACATTCTCAGACAAAATCCTTAATCTTTTTCTGTAAACCTTAGCTTAATATTATGATACAATGCAAAGATAAATAGTGTGGATTCTCAAATTTTACAAATCTATAATTATTTGTCAACTAGACATAAAATAATTTCATCATACTGTGTAAAGATAAGCAGAAATAATTCTTAAATTTTACATTCCTGGTATTGTTTAGTCTACTGTCTATGAAATAATTTCATAATACTGTGTTAGTATAAATAGAGTAGATGCTTACAAATCTGTACACGAAATAATTTTATAATATGTAATTTGTTTTAAATTGCGACTGCTACCAAAATGAAGAAGCTGAAGGTAAGACTCAAAATACTTTTATCTACTAAACCTCAACTAAATGCATTATTTTTTGAACTGCAACTAATTACCATACTTTGTAACTCTGGAATATGGCAATTTTCTTACATATGTGCTTTTCATAATGTCTTAAAGACACAAATTAGACGAATTTCATGCATCCTAACACATTCTGTACTACAGTTTGTTAGAAGACATGCAAATTTACCACTTGCTTATCCAAAGTAATAATGATTGGCAGCAAAACATGCAATAAATTTATATTTTATAACATAAAATACCTTTTGTTGTAACAGGCATTTCTTCTGAATAAGGACTGTAACCACGAGGATTGACAGCTAAAACTTTGAAATGATATTCAGTGTTTGCAGAAAGTCCTGAAAAGAAAGATATAAAATCATTACAATTTGCCGAACCTAATGCTCATTCTTAAGAACAATTATAAAATTAACACTGAATTATGGAATGATTTTTAAAACAGACCTGTAATTTGACAGAGGTTTTGTGAACGGCACGATTCATTGAACTGACGACCAGTTTCAGTGTTCAGGTAGGTGACTAAGAACTCTGTGTTTGAGAAACCACCATTGAATCCTTCTTGCCATCTCAGAGTAACTTTATCTGAGCTCACTTCAATCAGTTCTAAATGTGTAGGTCTTTCAGGTGGACCTTAAAAAATAAATAAGATATATTTTCTCTTCCATTTCTTTATCAGAAGTTTCTTGCTTCATTAGAAAAAGAAAAGATTTTAAAATTTTAAACACATGTATGTGTCCATAAACTATAATTATGTGTTAATAAGATATTTAATTTTCAGTTATTATTTTTGACAGAAGTTTCATTTCATGATAACTTTTTAAGAAGGCCACTGTTGCAGTTCAAATGGTAAATTTTGAAAAATATAGTCCAAATTCGAAGTTTAATTCTGAGGCTTGTAGAAACCATGATAATTATTTTAGAATTAAGTAACAAAAGATAATAAAGTATTATCTAGTTATTCACTTTGATTAATAACATGGTGTTACATAAGCCTAGAAAATAATCACATAAAATGACCAGAGAATGACTAGAAATTTAACATAAAATGACTAGAAAATAATCACATAAAATTCCTGTGTCTCCATAATGATGATTACAAATTCACTCATATCTGATAATTATCATTTCTGATCATTGCATGTTTCATACATTACAAAATTAGTACTTTTTATAATCCACAAATAACTACTAAAATGTGATGAAAGAATTATTACAGTAATCTTTGTTATTAAAAAAGAAAGACATTGGTAGATAATAAAAATTGCGATGGAAAAATTTCTTTATTGTAAAATTAATACCACATGAAAGACTTGTGATTTTATTTGATAAACAAAACAATTATTCAAGATATTACTGCAAACATTTTTTTGTTACTGGATTGTTCATGCCGGAGGTTTGTAACAAATACATCCATTGAGTGGGAATACTTTGGATATGAAATTCGTTTACTAAAAACTATAAACACCTCTTTATATCATCACTTATATAAAAGCTCCATACTAATAGTAACTGTTAAATAATCAGTTAAAATTTTGGAAGCTGTATATAAATATCTTGGAAGGTAAGTTTTTAAATATAAATTTCTAAACTATAAATTTTACATCAGACAAACACACATACATGAGTACAGATTTCAAATTGGTATTTGCAGAAATGTTATAATTAAAAAAAAAAAAACATTATCTAACAAAATTAATTTTACAGAACCCCTAAGATCAATGTTTTGCATATTCTTTTCATTAGATAAAAATATTTAAACCATATAATGAGCATGACTAAACTGTGGAGCAACACAGTGTGCCAACATGCCAACACAGAAACACATGCGCCACAACAAACTGTGCCCACACTATCAACTATAGAGCTTGACTAAACTATGGTATTTTCAATATAGCTTATGTTATAACAAAAAATATTCATGGCATGTGATGCTTTAAGAGAAATGCGAAGTTAAATGACTATTAGTTAGCTAGGGTTTAGAAATTATAAAATAATACTTTTATGCAATTTTTGTTTTTCAGTGTTTTTTAACAACTATGTACAAAACATTTTCAAAACCTGAAATATCATTTCAAAATAAACAGAAATCATGTTACGACATACTGTTTTTAATAATCAGTAGTTTCATTTAAAAATTACGTTTTACATAACAGTAACTTTAAATAATTTCAACTTTCCATTTTTGCAGCTTGCATAATAGCAATACTACTGCTAGAACAGGTAACTGTTATATAGCAGAAAAGACAAATTTTAATAAATGAAGCTAAATATGCGATAAAATACTCCACGCTGCTATACTGAAATCACATTTAAACACAAATAAAAAATACAGAGCTTTTGCAGATACCCATAAGAAGAATAAGAATTATTCTCTTATATTTATACAAAATAGTATTATTAATTATAAACAGCAGTACTATTAATTATTAAAAAATTAAAATATTTCTTTTAATTTATAAGCTATTTTGCTGCTTTTAAAAATTGGTATAAATAACTGTCAATCTTACTAAATCTGCTTGTGTAGCTTTTACTGACATGAAGTCCTTGTTATATAATTTTGTTAAATTTTTCAGCTTTGTTACATGTATCACAAAACTCAGTTTTTCATCTAAAAAATCTTTGTAGGATAAGTGAAAATGTTCTAGAACTTTCTTTTAAAAAGATTGCCTTGTTTATTAAATTTTGCCTTATTTTTAAATTTTGCATAAAATTAACACAATTATTATGTGACCCAACTGTCACAGACTTAAGAAAGCTATCTATTTAATTTAACTCTGAAACTGGAACCCACTGAAGAAATAAATCAATGCAATTTTTTTAACATATTGAGATGATTTTGTTACAACTGTAAGACATGTATTATAGCAACCCTATTATATTTGTGGTAACTACAGTATACCGGCACTGTGTGCAACCCTATACAACACAGATGATTGATCGCACATGGTAAACTTATAGCATGTGCTCATAGTGACGAATATAATGTAGTTAATCTTATGTATTGCACACATACTAATATATGTACACTAATTCATCTTATGTGCTATACTGTCAAAAGTCGTTAATCCGGACTCGTCGGGACTTCGGCGATTCCGGATTATCGATTTTTCCGGATTATAGATCATCAGTTTAAATCTCGTAAGATGGCATGCAGAAATTCTAAAATTAAAAATATGAAACCGTAATTTATGAAATAAAGAACAAGTATGATCTAAAAAGTATCAAATTTTACAAAAAAAAAAAAAAGCTTAATATTTATTTGTTTACTTTATTAAACATTTCTTTCAATGTAAGTTGCTTAAGTTGCTTCGTTTTATGTAATAATACTTTCTCTTTAATTCTATAAACAGACATAATTTCTTGTTCAGTTACAAAGTTCCGCTGTTCAAGTCCCGTTAATTGCTGTGCCGAGAATACCGACTAACTTGTCAATCGAAATTTTTTCGTTTTCACTAACCTCTCTGTCACATTCTTCATGTCTTTATCCATTTTTTGTTTGTTGGACATCGAAACATACTTTCGTTTTGTAGATCCTTTGGAAGTTCCAGCATCGGAAATTCTATTTGACATAATCGAAAGTTCAAGTTTACTTTTATAAAATTGCTCTTACAGTCTGCAAAAAATAATAAGCGGGATCCAATTCGAAGATCGAGGAGCAACGCAATCATTAACATTAACTGAAATAGATAATTAGAGCTTACACCGTCCGTTATACATTAAACGCGCAGGCGAAAACGTATTCTGCACTTGCGCACATGCATATGCACAGTAGTCAAGGTCTTATGCGCACGCGTAAAAGCCTGTGCGGGCGCATGCGCGGAAAGTTTTTAGCTTTGAGGTCCGGATTATAGATCATTCCGGATTATGGGTGTCCGAATTAACGACTTTTGACTGTATGTGTTATTGTGAAATATGTGCTGTGTTAGCAGAATATATTATTACTTGTGATTTTGAGGTGTCATTATCATTTTATATTTTACTACCACATTAAACTGGCAACATTAAAAACCTTGAATCTACAATAATGATTATTTACCTTTTCTCACAAGCCTTATGATCGTCTTCTTGTCATCACCAACTTGGTTTGAGGCTCTGCAGGTATATTCACCATAGTCTTCTTCTTTCATGTCCCTGATGGAGAGGACACCAGCATAGATGTCTTCTCCCAGATCAGTAATATTAGTTCCATAATTTCCATATTCATCAAGCACTCGTCCTCGAGAGAACCACTCGAACTGAGGATTGGGATATGCCTGCATCTTGCACTGTAGTACAGCAGTTTCCCCAACATCAAATGCTACCCTGTTATAAGTGTGCCTTACCACTGGAGAATCTGTAATATTAAAAATACTGACATTAGAACTTTATACATTGTCTAGGATATTTTGAAAAATGCATAAATAAATAATGATAGGTCCATTAATATTAAAAAAGCTAACGTAAGAAACTTGTTTATTATACAGAATATTTTGAAAAATAAATAAAGATATCAGATAAATAAGATATATTTTATTGCATAGAAAATCAACATCAATTACATAATAGTATCAGGTCTTTTACTCAATATTTACGAAGTATACATGGAAATACTTTAAATTTTACCTCGATAATACATAAAATACCAAGCTGTGCATTATACTTAGGGGAGAACAATAATAACTTTTTTGGACACATCATGTTATTTTTCATGAAACGGGTATACAGATTATTAGGTTTTCTAGAGAGGGACCCTGAAAAATCAGCTGTACCCTTACTGGGATTCAAACTATGGATGTTTCAGTTGCTAGCTCAATGTGCTAACCACTCACACCATATGATAGGAGAATGTGATAATTTTTACATACCCCACTTAAAGAATGACTAAAGAAAATGAATAACTAAATAACTAATAACTAAAGAAAAGAATGACTAAGGAAAGGCAAGTGATGCAATTTACCAAATCCAAGCATATTCATGAGTTATATCTATCATGTACCACATTTTAGTTCTGCAAGAGACCTTCCAACTGCTAGCTGGACATGATAACCACTTATACCATAAAAGCACATGTCGATGAATGTGATAATTCCTTACAAGTGTAATTCTAAAAAGTGTTAATTTGATTATTCCAAAGAGTATATTATTTTGTTCAATAAAAATGCAAGAATCTGCTATCTAAGATCTGTGATTATATTAAGTCTCTCACTTAATATTTAATGCGCTGTGAAATAACAGTTAAGGACATGTATCATTATTTTATTAGTTTTCTCAAATACCAAAAATTAATGAAAACTATAACCATCAGTCAAATAAAAGTTTGTGATATTAATAATATGATGATTGCAATTAAACTATGTTTGCTTTTAATGTATTCTGAATTGTATTTTCTCAAAATTTAGGTTAAAATAACATGTCGAACAACGATTATCTTGGAAGTCAAACAACAAAAATCAGCGTTATATTTTCAAATTTTCCAGGACTAGTTTGGATGATTTAATTACCAATATGATAATTTGTTTATTATATTTCAAAGAGGTATTATTTGTATATTGCATATTATATTTCAATTTATATTTTAAAACCACTTCAGAGGGTTTCTTATTTCTTATTAAGTTACACAATAATTCTTGTGATATGTGATACTATAATATAATGTAATTATGCCATTTTCTCATCCATGCAAAACTGTGGTCTAGTTTAAATATATGGTAGCATGTAGCGGCACATTTATAAATGCTGAGGCCCAATGCAGGATTTACATATAAGCTACACAAGCTACAGCTTAGGGCCCCTACTTTCTTGGGGGCTCCCAAAAAATTAAAATATAGTATAAATATAGTATAACAGACTTATAAAGGGCCCCATATCTCAAATAACTTAGATCCTTATTAAGTCTAAATCTGGCTCTGCTGGGGCCCCTCTTCCCAGAAATTCTGAGGGTTCCTCATCTTAAGATATCAGATAAGTATGCTGTCTTCAACTATTAACTCAAATTTGGGTGCTCCTTGGAATGCAGGACCCCTCACTGTGACTCCATAAGTCTGTCCCTGATTGTATGACAGAAAAATATAGACAAATTATTTTTTAAAATTGCTCCTTTTCTATCTAATTTGCCATTTTATTCCCCCTCCCTCAAAACTGGAATGGAAAGGCACAGCTGGTGCTGCGGGACTATAGCTCTACGACCAATATAGTGAACTTCTGGTGCCCCACCAACTTCTACCTGAACCTGACACTTTACGTTCCTTGACAACAACCAAGATTAGTTACTAAATAAAATTTCATGATTCATTAATCTGTCACATCAGAGCAAGAAATTCAAATGAAAACTTACGTTCTATCCTCAGCATCATCTCTGATCTAGCAGTCTCCCCAAATCCATTGTCAAATTCGCAAGTGTAGCGTCCTCTATCACCAGGGGTAAGACCATTTTCTCGCCGACTAGGTCCTGCAAAAGCAAGGGTACTTTGAACTGTAAAAGCATTGCTATCTTCAACTGTGTCAGTCGTGGTAATGTGGAAAAGGCCACTATCTTCGGATATTTCTTGACCATTTTGCAACCATCGTACTTTGGGCTTGGGTTTTCCTCGAGCTCGACAGGTGATGCTGTAATTCTTTTCTTTGTCTTTCATGACAGTTTGAGGCCTCAACGGATGGACGATGGATGCTGGCTCTAAAACATAAACAAACATTACAATACAGTTTTATTCATTTAATAAAACGTTCATTCATAAAACTTTGGTACTTACATACTTCCCTATCAACTATGACAGTTAAGCTTGGGTCAGTTACTCCGATAGAAATTTAAAAAAATAAATCGCTGTTTATTAGAGGATCAATAGACATAAGTTACTGATATAGCATATAAAAAGCCTAAAAAAATATAAGCTCAAACTTGAGCCAATCATTCTGGCTCAAGTTTTGAAAGAAACAGTAACTGACTCATATTCTTCTTTACAAAAATCAGCCTGGTTTATTTAGGATGAATTAGAGTAACATTAAACCAAGGGGCAGATATGAAGAGCATGTTGTGATGTTACTCTTATACCTTATTGGCACAAAAACAAACTACCCCTCTAAAATAAGTGGCATACAAATTATTTAGTGATGGTTTTTGTTTGTTAGAAATGGTCAACATGAAGGTAAACAAAAAATAAGAAGAGGAAGACAAAATAAGGCTAATATGGGTTTTAACAAACCTTTTATATTAAAAAGCAAACTCCCCATCAATTAAATTTGCAAGCCATTTGATATCTACATAAGCAAGATACATGATACCATCTTTATACATATTTCACTGACTTCATATTCTGAACCTTGAATTCCTTTTAAATTATTTATCTTTACTTTTATATATGACGTCTAGCACATTTTTATGACAACCTTTTTAAAGGCCAGTTTTCAGGGATAGTAAAATTTAAAAAATTCATAAATATTTTTGTCAACAGATTTAAATCACAGAGATCTTATTGATCTAGTCTAGAATTTAGAATATCTGCTTTACTAATACATAAACTTAATGTCATAGATGCAGCTAATTAAACTGATATCATTCCATATTTTTACCTTTAAGGATTAACTGTGGAATTTTTGAAAATTTTTTACGTATTTTTAAGGATATATTTTACGTATATTTTATATTTTACGTATTTTTATAATTTATTTACGTATTTTTAAGGATGAAGAGTAAATTTGATAACATACCATGCACAGTTAAATACACAGAAGCTGATCCTCCTCTGCCTAAAGCATTGGAGGGCTGGCAGAAATATCTTCCTTCATGGCTCATGTGGGCAGAGATTAAAGTGTAATTGGATTTTGGTGTTAGTTCTTGACTCTGCTGTCCTTCCTTCCACCAACGGTATTCAGGTAATGGCCAACCTAAAGGATGGGCAGTGCAAGACAAGGTGAACGGCCGCCCAGCAATCGCCACCGGCTGGACAGGAAGGATTTCAGCTAGGCCAGGCTTGTCTGAAATAAAAGAAAAGAAATAATGAAGGAAATGGTATTAGTAGATAGAATTTTTATATTGAAAAGGTTGGGCTGACTGGTTAGATGTACAAAACATTTGCTGTCTGTAAGTCCATTTTGAAATTAAATACTTCCTTCCCTTTTTCTTATCTAAGAAGTGTCCTCAAGAAAGCTAACACAATGAGAAAAGAGATATAATTTCAAACAGTAGTAAACATGACAATATTAAAAAAAGCAGCACTTGAAGCAATAGTTCCCTTCCCTATTCAGATGATACAGCCTCTGACAACAAGGACATGAACATTTTTCTGCTTTTAATGAAGATGTGGTAATCTAAACAATAAGTAACAAACATTGCAGAAAGAAGGTTTTCAGATTGTGAATGCTCTTGGAAAAGGGGGAAAAAAAAGAAGAAACTTCAGTCGCGCAGTTGTTGCATAAAAGTCAGTGACGTTTGTAGAGACATTAGGTTATTTCGAAGCAGGAAAGATGAAAAATAAGCAATGCCCTCACCGGGATTCTGACCAAGGACCTCTCGAATACGCATCGAGAGTGCTGACCACTACATCACAAAGGCATGCTAAGAAAGCGGGAGAAACACCTTATATACTTCTCCCTTTCAAAGGATGATCGGGGATTAGGGGACCTAATTGCCAAATCTTGGTGGTGGAGAATCATCATATATCCCCCCTTCAGTTCGGATGCCACTGTAGAGACATTAGGAATTTTTCAGATAAAAAATTAGCAATGCCCTCGCCGGGACTCAAACCACGGACCTCTCAAATATATGTCGAGCGTGCTGACCACTACACTACGAAGGTGGGAGAAATACCTAATAAGTTATATCAAATTCTCACTGCACAGGGAAGGTTCCCTGCTTACTTAAAAAGGTTCCACCTCCAGGGAAATGATATATGTAAAGTTTGTATTAAATTCGGCGATTCCAAGGGAAAAAACGGAATGTTTCAGATGTTGCAAAGGTAAGAACTTAAACGTTAAAAGAAAATCTTCGAAGTTAAAAGACAGTTGTATAATAATTAAAATGCTCGATGCCAACTATAAACAAAGCGTTTAATTCTGATTTGGATCTTAAAAATGGTGAAAAAACGTAATGTGCACCATCCTTCTGCACGACATATTGCCGAAAGCAGAACGCGCTGTAGAATTCCGATAATCGTATAACAATTATCGGACAAAAATGGGAAAATGTTGCCGCAATAGATGATTCTTGGGTATATTTAAACGGTCGCAATAAAAAGAGGTCCATTTATTATCATCAAGGAGAACAAAAAAATCTTAAAATATGGTTCAAAAATCTAAAGAAAGTTTTTCAAAGGGATTTATGGTTGTTGCTGGTTTTTTATGTGACGACAAATCAACATTAAAGAGAGTGCAGAAAACTGTTAAGGTCAACTCCACATATTATTAGGAATATATTCTATAGCCGATTTCCAAATAGGAAATCCCCATCTCCTTACCCACAGTGCCATCAACCTGAACTGCATCAAGACAAAGCAAGCAGCCAAGCGTCCAAATACACTGTTAATTTCCTGGAAGAAGAGGAACAAGAAACGTGTATTAAAGGCATATCCTTCACTCATATCAATATGAAATCTGCTGATGTATAATTCCACAGATTTTTGTATTTGGGGACTTTTAAAAAGTGGATTGTCCAAACGTCGACCTATAACTCTTCTTGGACTTTGGAAGGCTGCTCAAGAGGAAAGGGATAAAATACCTCTTCCACTACTAAAAACAGCTTTATTGTCTTGGAGGTTATGGTGCAGAAACATAGTGAAGAATAAGGGTTATCAAATGGATAATTTAAAACACAAAAATTATGCATTAAATATTTCTGTAAATACCATGATAATTGTCTAAAAAATGTGCGAACAGCCTTAGTAGATCCTGTATGTAATTGGCAAAATATCCTGTTTCACAAAAGCTTATTCACCATGCACTGCACCACAGAATTACCATCTGTTCTCACCGCTTCGGTGTTATAAAACCATGATGCACATTTTTCCAGACAATGGAAAAAGTAAAAATGAAGTCTTATATTATCTTATCCGAACATTCTTACAGAAAGACGTTAGATGGTTCCGAAGAACCGTCTTGAATTTCCTGAGCTTAAATTTCATGACAGTTTTCAAAAACTGTCAAGTTTCATCTGCAAAAATCTGTAACACATGTTTGAGAAACAGGCTAAAATCTATTTTCTTACAATTAAATTTTAAATTGTGTGAAGAAAATCATCAATTAATTTCTGCGGACAATCTTTAAGATATTACATTCACAAACACAATGATGTTCTTGCTTCCTGGAGGAGTATAAACATTACCAAATGAAAACTTACGCTTGATACGAACAGTGACAGTGCCATTTCCGGTGGCTTCGCTTTGGACGTTGGATCCTGAGGGCCGGAATGAGGCGGCCGCTTCACAAATGTACCTCCCACCATCATCGACGGAGACTTTCTCGATTTGCAGAGTGTCCCCTGTCTGTCGGAAGTAAGGGTCGCCTTCTTTCAGCCATTGGATCATGTGCGGAGGAGGTTTAGAAGAGACATCACATTTCACAACAAGAGTATCTCCAGCTGCCACTTCTTGGTAAGAAATTACTTTAACATGAGGACCGTCTGAAAAATTAAATAGCATTTTTTGATGTTAACGACTATTATATTATAAATTTCCATTAATGTTGCCATCATTAAACTAAGAAAATACATTATTTTTATACCTTTTCCTATTCATCAAAGCTATATCTTTTTTGTATAGAGTCAAAAGTCGTTAATTCGGACACCCATAATCCGGAATGATCTATAATCCGGACCTCAACGCTACAAACTTTCTGCGCATGCGTCGCGTTCATGCATGCGCACAGGCGTTTACGAGAGCGCATAAGACCCTTACAGCTGCGAATATGTTTGTGCGCATGCGCGTTTAATGCGCACAAACGCTAAGCTAAAGTTATACGAGTTATACGCTAAGCTAAAGTTATGTAATTCAGTTAATGTTGCAGATTGCGTTGTTCCTTAATCTTCGAATTGGATCCGGCTTATTATTTTTTGCAGACTGTTAGAGCAATTTTATAAAAGTTACCTTGAACTTTCGATTATGTCAAATAGAATTTCCGATATATATTTACTACAAAGCGAAAGTATGTTTTGAAATCCGAAATCTGTTTATCAATTTCACGCTGCTCTGCGGCAGAGGGGGGGGGCATAAACGTCATTATTAGATTATGATAGATTAGAAAGATTATGTCAAATAGAATTTCCGATATATATTTACTAATATGTAATTTGTATCTACAAAGCGAAAGTATGTTTTGAAATCCGAAATCTGTTTATCAATTTCACGCCGCGGATTGGAAGTTGATCTGTCAGCACTATCCTTATCTTCAGAGCAGATGTTTTTATTTTATTTGGTTTATAATTCCGTACTAAGTGTAGTATTTCATCTCGATATACTCCGTCTTTGATATGATTTAAATCAAGTTCCTCGTCATTATAATTCGCTTCCGATAGTGAAGAAAGTGACCCAGAGGTTATTGAAAACGAAAACATTTCGATTGACAAATTAGTCGGTATTCTCAACACAGCAATTATAGGACTTGAACAGCGGAACTTTGTAACTAAACAAGAAATTATGTCTGTTTTAATAGAATTAAAGAGAAAGCATTATCACATGAAACGAAGCAACTTACATTGAAGGAAATGTTTAATAAAGTAAAAAATAATATTAAGCTTTTTTCTTTTTGTAAATTTTGATACCCTTTAGATCATAATTGTTCTTTATTTCATAAATTACGGTTTCATATTTTTAATTTTGTAATTTCTGCATGCCATCTTACCAGATTTAAACTGATGATCTATAATCCGGAAAAATCGATAATCCGGAATCGCCGAAGTCCCGACGAGTCCGGATTAACGACTTTTGACTGTATTTCTTATTAAATACAAAAAAGAAAAATTAACCATCTTCATATCTTTTGTTTTGTTAGAGCTATTGTTGTTTCTGGCTTGCTCTGGCGATGTCCGCAAAAAGACCATAGGGCGAAGTTAAGTCTGGCAGGAGGGTCGAGCTGCGCCCCTCACATCACATCACAAAAAAGTAGGGTTAGTTGCCCATTTAACTCCTTAAGAACTGCTTAATGTTTTGGGAAAATCGTCACAAAAATATGTAATTTTATTAAAGAAATTTAACAGTAATTAAAATTTAAATGAAGTAGCAGTTACTTTCAGTTTTAGATGGGTTTAACAAAATAAAACTTTGAGAGGAAAAAAAAAAAGTGTTTGAAGAAAATTTAACAAGAAAAGCAAGGCTATCATAAAGCAAAGAATTTTATCACAAAGAATTTATCACAATATCACACAATAAAAGTAGGCACAAATTCAAAATCAAATAAAACACACAGCAAACCAACAAAGAAACAAAAAAATCACTTTACAACGCTATGAAAATTAAGATCTTATGGACAAACGCAGCATATGACTCTGCCAGATGCAATAAAATCTAAGAAAATACATTTTTTATTAAGACTTAAAAAATGGTTATATAAGCACTTGAGCAATCGATTATTATATATTTCAACTACGAGTTAATTACAAAATTTTGAAAATGATTGCATTTTCAGTGCGGTAAGACTACATTTTTCAGCAAATTAAACACTTTCCACTTTCCCTCCCTCCTTCTCATTAAGACTTTTACGTTACAAAAAAAAAAAAAAACTGAAATTTTTTAGATTTTAAATTACGTCCAAAGGGGCGTTTTTTTTTAACGTTTTGAGTGTTACCTTTATTTATTAAATATCATGTTCTTTGCACTTAAACCATAAAATTCAGTTCAAGAGCAATATCGCAAAATAATGTTAAATTAAGCATATCTTTAGAATTTCCGATATACACAGTCTCGCGAGCTGGAGATAAAAGTATTTTTTTTTCTGCTTAACGTTGCCATTTCTCGCTTTTAAAGCATTGAGTTTGTAAATCAAAAATTCGTTAAAGTTTTACAAAATATAAAATCTATAATAAAACAAATTCCAAATTTGGGATTTCAGATGCCCATATTCGCAGTAGGATTTCGTCATTCAAAATTTCGATGGCTCTATGTACCATTGTTTTATCACAATGCGAGAAATAGACAATCATTTATGCAGATTTTTCATTATTTAATTTCTTCAAATATAATGCAGGACTCTAACATTTTGTGGCAACAGTTTGAAAAGTGAACCGACGTTTATGAGTCCGACGCAAAATGCCAAAACGAAAGCAATAGTCCTTCGGGACTGAAATTCCTTTGGACTAAAAATAGAAAGAATTAGAAATAAAAAGAAAATACATACAAAGTACAGATAATTCCAGGTTGGCTTGTGTAGGATCTCCAATACCATTATCAGCAATGCAGCTATAAATGCCACTGTCATCTGCCGTGACAGATCTAATTGTGTGGTTAAAGGTGTTGGACAAGAGATTGCCATTTTTTACCCAACGAACGGAACGAACAGGTGGAGAAGCGATTACATTGCAGATCAAGTGAGCATCGGTATTCTCCAGAACATTCAGCGGGTTAGAAGGCCCCACCGTGATTCGAGGGGAATCTGCAAAGAGAAGTTTTGTTACGACATCCTCAGAGAGTGAGAAGCAATAAAACAGTCTTTCATTAAAAATATAACAAGAAGAAAAAAAATCCATAAAATAACAAACACATGCTTTGAAGAATTTAACTTACAAGGGCAATTGTGTGGCATACTTACAATGGACCCTGAGGCTGACGCTGGTGTCTAGCTTCAAATTTTCCGCGAGAGCTCGGTTCCAGACTACACATCGGTAGACAGAATCGTCATCATCTATTCGCGGAGTCACATCTAGAACACTGGATGTAGGTCTCTCCCTGGATCCTCCTTTCTGCACCTTTCCTTGCAGCAGAACACCATCTCGGTACCACCGAATGGTAGGGTCCGGGCTACCTCCTTCACTGGAGCACGTCAAAGAGATGGTCTCTCTTTCTCTGGCAATAGGTTTAGGTGGCGTAATCCGTGGTTCCCCAGGTTTAACTGTAAAGGAATTTTTTTTTAATGCATTAAAAAGAATAAACAGTAAAATGGAATACTGTAGCATGAAACAGAATTAAATCTTGATAAACAAATTTGCAGTAACAGTAAAATGCATGATCATGAAGAATTTTTTTAACAGCGCGTTGAAAACAACTTTTAATAATTCTCAGAGGTTTCTATCAAATTTTAGCAGCCTATTAAGAATCATACATAGAGGAAAGGTGAACACTGCCTTTAGTCAAAGATTTTGGATAAAGATAAAAATCCTGTATAAGATGGATCACACTTTTATTGGTAATACCATAAGAATTAAGAGAGAAAATACCTGCACAGTCACATAGATTAGATCATGGGTCATCACACAACCATCAGACAATGTGCGCACTATCACAGATCAGACAAGAGTCGTAGATAGGAGATTGGGTGTATACTATCTTTCATATTAAAAAAAAAAAAAAAAAAAAAACCTAAGGCACCAGTCTAACCATGAAAGACCAGAAGCGAAAGATAACATTGAAGCTTTTAAAACTGAAATTTTTTAGTTGAATTCGAATTTCAGTTAACATTTGTTTTATTAGTTGACAACATTTATTTTATTTATTTTCTTCTTTCCAAAAGTGGTGTAATGGTAAAAATTGTAAGGTTTCATTTTATTTTCGCTTTTCTAATTTCATCAACTTCCACAGGACTACGAATAAGATCTCAAATTTCAAATTTATCAGAAAGCGTTTAAGCAGCTCAGGCAGACAGTTATTATAGATTTCTGCTACCGCAATTGGCTAGTTAGCAAATTTTTGCTTGTTGTAATTCTTTGAGGTGATTAATAAGAAGCCAAAGTTTAGGCTAAGCTTTGCTAATACTGCATATCACCTTCGATTTAACGTAAAACTCTGTTGAAAGCTGTTTGTGCACTGGAGTTCTGTTTCTGATAATTTTCAGTTTGTATAACGTAAGATCGAAGAGTTAATAACTATTTTTATTGCCTTTTATTTTGTGACACATCTAGACAAGAAATCAGATTGGACGAAAAGTCCTCCGATAATCTTTTATATTTACTTATTAAATAGAGTTTATACTTTACATTAAGTGTAATTTTACAATATTATCTTTGAGTTACCTGAGTATAATCTGTATTTTCCAGACTAATTTTCATTACAAATTGCAAAGTAACAGTACATAAAATTATACTAAATTGAATTTTCATTACTTTCGTCTGTTAATCCTATCCCCTCCTTGTATAGTCCCCTGTATAGTCCCCATGGAACGGTTTATACAAAAAATTTGAATATTATAATGCGGTAGAGGGAATACTACACTATTTGTTTTATAAATCTGTCATACCATTTTCAAATACTTATATTTAGCTCAGTCATTAATCAATTCGCTTGTATATTGTATGTTCAAAAATTCATCCTTTCCAAAATTATTAAATAACTATCGAATAATTAACTTTAAATTTTGGGATTATAAGATTTCCTTTAATTCCAAGATCAAGAAATCACTTAAAAGTAATCAGTTTAAAAACATCTACGCAAATACATAAGTCCAAACTGTTACTTTGTTTGACAAGTCGCTAGTTACTGAAGTAGCTATAAACTTGTTACATTACAAATAGTACTTAAATATTGCGGTAATAAAGAATTTGAAATGATATATGCTGCTAAAAGACGAGAATCAAAAGTCTGTCGACTGAGAAGTTAAAAGTTTAGTATTATTAGTGTTGGCCTAATTTGCAGCGTATCACACCTATGAACTAAATTCAATGAAAATTCAGTTTATTAAACTAATAGAGTGGGTATATCTTTCCATGGGGACTATACTTGTTATGAAGAATATGCAATATTCATAGATAGCTTTGGGCTAGAGAGAGAGAAACATTAGTTTTTGCTCTGTTTATAGAGTGGAAATTGATAATGTAAAATATGAACTAAATATTTTTAATTCAGTATATTAAGAGGAGCAATTTATTGCATTATTATAGACTGCAAAATAAGTAAGTATTTTGCAAAGTAAAAAAATCGGCACTAGGCATTATATTTGTGTGGCATTATATTTGTGTATATATACACAAATATAATGCCTAGTGCCGATTTTTTTGCCGCCCACTGCAATCTTTGCAGGGCATAAATTCTGCTACCCTGGTCATAAATTCTACTAAAAATTTTGCTGTAATAAATTTAAAGTCTAAAAATTTTGCTGTTCCTAAATTCTGGAACAGAATAAAGATATTATTCTAAAAACACAATAAAAATTTCTAATTTAAATTTATATATAATATCCTTTTTACTGCACACTCGATGGTGTTCCAATACTTTTAGAAGCCACTGTAGAAAACGAATGATCAATTCTTACACAACTCAAATTCTTAAAATTACACCTAAAACGACACCGAAAACAATGCACCATTGCTATTTCGTGCAATCATGATATTTGCATTTTAGCAGCTGTTGAAATGACATGGAGAGAAAGAAGGACAACGAAAATTAAGATTAGTCAAACAATAGAAAATGGCAAAAAATAAATCACATCTTTCGGTCATTTTCAAACATCAAACGATATGCGGTTTTCGAACTGGAATCGCTGCAAATGGAAGTTCTTTCTTCCTCTTTGTGACGGATCGCAGGTCAGAGAGCATCGTAAAGAAGAATAAAGCTCCTTCGGGATCTTTTTTTAAATTCGCAGGTGTTTTCTCAAACAATAGAAACGTGAATTCTTCTTACCGCAGAGCTTAGAAACATCTGTGTCGTTTGAAGATTTAGGAATATGCATTAAAGAGATTCCCCTTCCAACCTTGCCTTAAATCCTAAGGAGGACATTCTCAAAAATAAATAACTAAAATTCCAATCTTGGATTGCATGCACAATTTAACGGACGATATTTCCCACAAAGATGCTAAATAGCTTAGGTATTTTATTCTACGTTCATGATAAAAAAAAATAATAAAGATAACAAACTGATGTGGTATTGTTAACAGAATATCTTAATACACTGATGGAAAATAGAGTTCCAACATAAGAAATCAGTTTAGAGGAATGAAATGAAGGCAAAGCATTTGTCTAGGCAACATATTTATTTGATTTATATTTCAAGGTCACAAGTTAAAGTATCCGTGAAAAGAGCCATTTCAAATGTGAAATGGTGGTACACCAATAACCGCTTGGTTGCCACGATGTCGAATGCAAGCCTGGAAACGCGCTTCTATTGTGTTGTACAGGTGTGATACGCCATTTTGTGGGACGGATTTCCATATGTGTTGTACTTAATTAGTCACATCAGCAATGATCCATACTGTTTGGAGATCACGCTCAGTTTATCATCCATTCATGTTCCACATGAGTTCAAAGATCGGTGATCTCGCAGGCCAAGGCAAAATGTCGAACCTATAGAGCACGTCAAGTGATAGCAGCGGTATGGGGAATGGCTTTATCTTGTTGGAAAATGGCCCGTGGAATATTGCTCAAGAATGGCAGCACAAGCGGTGCAATCACCAGTCAAATTTGTTGTTGTGTGGCATAACGATAAGAGTGTAACAGAAAATGGCTCCCCAGACCATAACAACTAGCGTAGCTCCAAAGTATCTAATCTGCAGACAGCTCACCTGGCCTCCTTCTAACCAACACACGGCTATCAATGGCACCAAGACAAAAAGTCTCCTGAAAGCACAGCAAATCTCCACTCTGTTCTTCAGTGAATTCTAGCCTGACAACACCTATTCAACAATTCTAGCCTGACCGCAGATAATGGTGATTTGGAGTTAATTGTATGGCCACTACAAGGCGCCTGGCTCGAAGCATCAAATAACCTTTTTATTACAAGTTCGTTAGGTTACTTTGGTGTTAACAAAAGCTCGAATGTCTGCCACATATGCAGGATGGTGCGCCAGAGTCATGCGGTGAATATGGTTTTCCCTTTGAGCGGCTGCATGTGTGCGGCTGGATTCTGGCCTTCTTGAATCTTTCCGTGACCACTGCTGCCAACACGCATACATAGAGGATAAAGTTTTGTCAGATTTTTCGAAAAGAAAATCCACCTTTTCGTAACCCTATTACACAGCCTCGTTCAAACTTAGTAAGCTGATGATACTGCCTTTTTCATCTCCTCAAAGGCATTCTTGGCTCAAATCTCATTCACAAAGCCCAATCCGAAGGATATATAAAGCACATAAACAACATATATTTAAAACAAACGTGATTTGCATGTTCATATTGGTATTACTAGCGCCACATTTATCCATCTAGCACGAAATGTGAACAGACATCATCTTTAAAATATGCAGATACCCCTCCCAAATTTCGTTTATCTCTAGCTTTTAGTGCTAAGATCTCATTTTCCAACAGAGTAATAATCTGAAAATTGCAATAGCATGCTAGGAAGAACTTTATTTTGGATTAACTTTGTACTTTCAGTGCCTTAATGGGAAAAATTAACCATAGATTTTCCTTTTACAAAAACATATTTTCCAGTTATTAATACTCATCTGAAGAAGCAAGACGGTACTTGTAAAAACAGATGCAGGGAATATTACGCTAAAATAGGTTGTATTGCAGTAAAGCTAGAAAGTTAAGATTAAAGAACAAAATTATTACAGAGGCTGTTCGCACATTTTTTAGACGATTTTGGTAAGCGGTAATAAAAAATCGTTTGCTGCAAAGAGATAAATTGTGTACTATGTGTCAAAATTATCGTCTGTGGCTTGAAAGATTTGTTTTTATTCAAAATGGCGAATTTAACAAAACACTGGTTCGAAGGCTACATTTACCCTCTTTCCGAAGAGAAATACGCATACTCCGTTATCCAAAAACGATGTGAAAGTCATTTTTTGTGATAGCGATAGGATAGGTAAGGGAAAAAAAACGACAAATTGGAGCCTCAGAGGGACAAAAATTCCAAACAAGTATCCAAGGAAAAAACGGACATCTTCGACTATTGCAAAGATACGTTGTTTAATGTTAAAAAATCTCCCTAGTCCCAAGGACAGTTTGCAAATCATCAAATGTTCG